GCACCGGATCAAAGCACGTCGAAGTCTTACACGTTGATTCGCTCGTCCGAGCCGCCCATCTCCTCCCCTTCTTCGGAGAGCAACTCGTACCTAAGGAGATGACTTGCCATCAGTCTCTAGATTCATTTGAGCTTTTCTACGTTAACCGATATGCCGACCACCATGCATTCGAAATTGCCTAGTTCAGTATGCTACTTATGTCCTTTACCACTGTTTATGCCCTCTCGTATTACTTATGCAACACCTTTTTCAACCTCAATGCACTTATTCTTAACGATCTGGAGCTTGCGAGAAATAAGGGTGCTTATGGAGGCCCGGCGATTTGATCCGCACTTATGAAAGTCGTGCTACTTATCCGATTCTGTCCTAAGTACACAGGTGCCGAAAAGCTGTAATAAGCTTGTTATAAGTCCCATCAGATCTCATAAGCAATGTGCCGTTTTCCTGATGCATGACTCCGCTCTCCATCCTGAGCCTTCAGTAAACAAACAGAACTGTGTGCAGCATCTGTGGTCAACCTTTGTATCAGATTTTCACACCACCTCTTTCACACGCTTACTAGTAGCAGCATTCAGTATCATGCCGATCGAAGATGTGTTAATATGACCACTACAACGTACATGACTCGGTATTTTGGAGTCTGGCACAGATAATTCCTAGCAGAGAGTGCGGTGGCAAAGACGTAATAAGAAGAGGTTTGTTACTGGTTCGAGCTGGTCCCATAATTAGAGCGCTCTGTGATTACTTGAGTCTGACGCCATTGTGTCGTTTTGTGGAGTGTTATGCTCGTTGACACGTAAGGACGTTGGAGTAGGTACTCCTGGAGAAGACAAAGACGAGACACATCGTATAGCTAGGATGAGTGACTACGAATATGCGTGAACACGCTAAGTACTGACTACGCTTGTCCCACTATCCGTGCGTACACCATCATTGCATTAGCATTCACGGGAAAATATTCTCCCTTGGCAAACCAAAATGTGAGCAGTGAGACTGACAAAGGGTGTATGGAGTATTCACTCACTTTATTAATGCCAATGAAAGCGGACTAGTAGAACGGGTGTTGATAAACTCACATATCAGCATCTGCCCACTTTGCGATAGCTTGGCTTACCAATGACACTAAGAAAAAACCAATATGACGCATCGTCTTATACAACCGAGGGGTCTGAGGAGACCAGTAGCCACAAAACTTTGCCTTATCTTCGAAGTCCTTCGTCATACTGACCGGTTTCCGGGCTAAAACATGGCCCGAAATGCACAGTCAAACACCCTTTCCCGCCCCTTATAAAAAGCTCTATCCGTCCACCTAGACTAAGCAGTTATCTCGAGAAAACATGCCAGAAGTAACAAACAAATCCAGCACTATCCTAGTCACCGGCTCGAACGGCTACATCGGCACGTGGATCGTCCGAAAGCTGCTCGAGCGCGGGTTCTCCGTCCGTGCGGTAGTGCGCTCTGAACAGCGCGGGAAGCACCTACTGGGCTCGTTCAGCACGTACGACGATAGGCTAGAGCTCGCGATTGTACCGGACCTCGCGAAGGTGCGCGACGCGTTGTGGAGCGTTACTGGGGTTTCTCTAGTATGTGCAGTACTTATATTTTTGCACATAGGAAGGTGCGTTCGACGAAGTTGTCAAGGGAGTCGAAGGAATCGTGCACACGGCGTCGCCTGTGGTCGCAATTTCGGGTCACCCTGATGGTACGTTGTCTCTATTGGTGCACATAACTCACAACTGACTTATACTTGAATATGCTAATAGAGATCGTCAAACCGGCTGTTGGGGGCGTGACTGCAATTCTGCACAGTGCACTGAAGCATGGGTATGTCCCATATACCATGATGTCTGTGAGATGCCCGCAATTAACTTTGACAAACACCTGCAGCACATCTTCGAAGCGCGTCGTGATAACGTCGTCCATGGCTGCCGTCGAGTACCAAAGCGATCATCCGGTGACATATACCGAGAAGGACTGGAATGTGACCACCATGGCCGAAAGCGATGAGAAGGCTGAGAACGCCAGTTCATATGCAAAATACTGCGCGTCCAAGGTGAAATCGGAGCAAGGTATGATCTATAACTTCCCGAAATTGCCTATGACAATCTGACCTATGACGTCAAAAGCCGTTTGGGAGTTTGTCGAAAAGCATAAGAGCGAGATAAGCTGGGATGTCAGTGTTCTCAACCCGCCTTGGGTGTACGGTGTACGTCTGCTCTGTTATTTCAGTACCGTTAGATACGCAAATTACTTTGGGACAGCCACCCATCCACGACGTCAACAAACCCAGTGCGCTCAACTCTTCCGCGAAATACTGGTTCGATGCGGTGGTCAAAGGAGAGCTTCCTGCGACGGGCTCGACAGATCCGCTCACCAGCCCAGGCGGAGGCTGGATCGACGTGAGAGACTGCGCAGAGGCACATGTCCGTGCGCTCGAGAGGGTGGCTGCTGGAGGCAAGCGTATCTTCTGCGCGGCGGGATATCCGCATGTTTGGCAGGACTTCTGTATGTTAATTTTGGTTCATTAATTGTTTACATCTTTCTTTCACTCACCTTGTATCCATCTAGTTGATACGGCGAATGGGCTGAAGCCACAGCCGTACGAAGGCAGTTTAGCCAAAGGACTTCCCGATGGCATCAAGAGAGTAAAGAATACGCTTGATTCAAGGCTTTCGAAAGAGGTTCTAGGTATAGAGTGGTGCTCCATGGAAGAGTTGACAAGGGACACTTTGGAGGATTTCCAGCGGAGGGGTTCTGAGTGGATAGTCAATGTCAGCGAGTAAGGAGGTGTGGATTACTCTAGCAACTCCACCCATCCGTGTCTTGGTATAGCCACGAGGTTCTTGAATAGAAGAGGAAAACGAACTACATTCATGATGCATGAGCCGTCGTCATCCCCCTTCGTCTGAGAAGTTGCCGATTACTTTGCAGTGGCCCTCAGGCTGCAGTCAGCCGTCGTTCGCTGGCCGCCGTGGTGGCGATAGCGCGGCAAAAGCCGTCTGAGTTTGAATATCGCTTTTCATTCTTCGGCACGATTGACCGGATAATAGGTTCCTTTACATCCACCACTATCCTGGTACAATTCTCCATTTTGCTTGCGCAATGACAGCTCGATTGCCTCCATCGTTCTTCTATCGACATCTCAGGAGGCCAGCTCATCCAAAGGAGAACTGAGCAGAAAGTCAGACTTCCCGAGTGGTGAGACCTTGAGATTCTATTCCAGGAGTCACCAGCCTATTATTGTCGCTGTCGCTGGGGGGTGATTGCGGAGAGCCGTCTGTCCCTCTCGCAGCGTCCTCAGTTCCGACATGCACCTTTGGTCTCTCCACGCTGCTGATGCATCCGTTACTGGCCAGGTCAACGGTCAAAACTCGGTGCCTGCTCGGCCGAACTGCATATGTTCAGGCCCCAGAACGCGCTCGGCGCACATGCCGCACGCGTCAATCACGAAGGATTCTGTCACATCCAACGCCTGGACCGACGCTTCCATATGTGCACTATCGTGCGATGGAATTTGGTAAAATCTTTACGCAGAGGGATGCCTCCGTGCGAATGAAAAAACGCACGTTCGCTGTACCTTGGGATGTTCGCCATAGATGCACCGTTTCCTCACCTAGATCTCTCACCGTAACCGCAATCATGTCCTCCCAACAGCTCACTTTGCACTCAACGATAAGGGTATGCCACTCTGTCATGAAAGGTTGTAAGCTTGGCTGAACACGCACGTTGATTGCTACGCATACAGCTCGTCGATGGATATGAGATGCCGATACTGGGCTACGGTGAGTTTTTCATGCGCGTCGCTAGTACATCCAGGTCTGAAGGCTGATCAGATGATTTCAAGGGACATACGAGGTCGATTCGCAAGACGCGTATGATGGGGTAACGTGGGCGCTTGAGGTGCGTGCTTTACGACGGTTGTAGCACAGGGACAATCTAACGCGGTCACATACATAGGCCGGATACCGTCACATCGTATGCACACCATCTCCCTTCCCGATGTCACGTAGGCTTATCTTGTTTCTTCCCCTCGCCAGGACTCCGCAACTTGGTACGACAATGAAAGTGAGTGTGGCCGTGCAATCCGCGACTTCTGCGCCCGCGCCGGCACGCCCCGAGAAGACATCTTCTACACCACGAAACTCAAGATCAACGGTACACGCGCTTCCACCACCAAAGCGATTGATGCGTCTCTCGCAGCTTGCGGCCTTGGATACCTCGATCTCTACCTCATCCATGGTCCGATCGGTGGGGAGAAGGCTCGTCGTGAGAGCTGGGCAGGCGTGCTCGACGCACAGAAGGCGGGCAAGATACGGAGTGTCGGCGTGAGCAACTTTGGCATGAAGCACTTGAGCGAAATGGAGGCATGGGGCATGGGCTTGCCCGTTGTTCAGCAAGTACGCATACTCGTCCGCGCGGCCACTGGATGGACACTGATATGCGTCTGCAGATTGACTTGCATCCCTTCATGACTCGGACAGACATTGTCGAGTGGTGCAAAGAGAGGAACGTCGTTCTTCAGGTCAGCATATGCACGTCACCATTCAGTCTTTTAAGCTCAACAATGGTATTCTAGGCCTGGGCTCCCCTTGTCCGCGGTATGCGTTTCCGTCACCCGGCGATCACTTCTCTGGCGAAGAAGTACAGTAAAGCGCCCGCTCACGTGCTCCTGAGATACTCCTTACAGAAGGTAGAAGTTCATCGCTGTATACCCACTGAGAACTATTCAAATCTATAACTCGTTGCAGGGCTTTGTCGCGCTACCTAAGTCCGTCCGCAAGGAGCGCATCGTTGAAAACACGCAGATCTTCGACTTTGAGCTTACCGAAGAAGAGATGGCGCTTCTCGACAACTTGGATGAGTGTACGCAAGCATTTCGCCTGCCTTCACCTGTCTCGTGCTGACCATATTCGCTCCTAGATCTCGTTACGGACTGGGACCCTGTCAACTGTCCTTAAGCGCCAGGAGGAAGGAGCGCCTATCCCCAAATCTAAAAATAGTGCTTGCCCCTAAATTCGTATTGGGACGTCCGCATACAATTTTCGTAAACTCCCTTCAACCGATTCGTTCTTGCTGTTCCTACTTTTTACAAGGTCAATAAAATCTAGATGACCAAATGCCACTACCCTTGCGGCCTATGTCGCCGAGATAAACCTTCGTCAAGGGCGGGACCAATTCCAGACTTTCCTTTCTCGTCCGAGCTTTTTGTTAACAGTCACAGCTAGCTCTCAGGACGCGGAGATCATCGTGCCGGCTACTCAACACTCATGTCTCTGCGACACTCCCTTATCAAGGTAGTGTCTTTTGTCTTTCCCTCTCCCGTCGGAACGCTTAGATAGCAGCCCCGTTGCACAGGTACAATTAGCACTGATAGAAAACAGTAATAAGCTCTCACATGTGAGTGGACCTGCTGGGATGTCTTCGACCAATGGGTTATTCCAAGCCTGCGTAGCGGCTCCACTTTGCTAGACAATAAGGCTGGGAAGGAGGGTAAGAAGTTTGTTCGCGTTACACGGGGGCTGTGTGTTGACCGCTGCGCTGACATCGCAAGTGCAGCTGTATCGCCTGAAGAGTAGCTGGGAGAAACGCAAAAGAACGTAAAAGAACGCAAGCAAGCTTCAACAATCATCCGGCTCTTCGACAGCCCAAAGACACACTGGGACCTACTGGACCAGATCAACAGGAGTAGGAACGATCACCAAACGTGCATCAGACAAACTATTGACGCCGCTATGTTTAGAGTTTGTAGCCGCCCGTACGGCTCCTTCTTTCCTCACAAATAAGCCCGTGACATGTGATCCATAGACCCTCATTCTGCCAACAATGAGTCACCATTGACGCACCAAGCCGACCATCTAGAGCTCAAGGAGTTCGAGGGCTGGTGTATCATTGGACGTCCCAAACACATTGCGACTGCCTACCGGTTCGTCCATCGCCCACCTAAACGCGATGAGCAGCCAGTACTGACACCTCACATGTTACGTGCACAGGGTACGAAACGCTGTCGTGGTCATCATGGCTACCTCGGCTCGATACCGCTACTCTAAAGCGTCCATGAAGATCGTCAAGATGTAGCGTTTCCACATATGTGGAACGCACGACCCGAATGATCCGGGATGGGAATTTGAGAAAGGTGCGTATATGCGCGTTCTCTTTGGGGAAACGAGGCAGGGCACGAGCGACGCAAGACAATAGGATGGGCCATAGAGTCGTCCACGTTTAGCCCCCAAACATCGGACTTAGGCAAGATACAAATAGGCTCGCTGGTAAGGGTGCTCTCAGGAGGGACACATATTTGCCTCGTATAGCGTTTCTCGCTCCTGCGCTCCTCTTGGCCCCGCTTTCGTTCACCTTTTCGTTTTCTTCTTCCGTACCCTTCTTCGTGGTTGTCGACTTCAACAACGTGCTCTTCTTCATCACCATCGTATTCTCCACTACCTGTTACCATGAACGCCACCCACCCAAGCAGGACGCGTGCCACCGCGCAGAAGACGCAAAAACAGACCGCCATGCACCTTCCAGAGCCATTTCACTTCCTCCTCCCCGACTTTAGCTCGCACTGTTCCTACCCACTTCGACTCAACAAGCACTGCGTCGCAGCTGCAGCTGCTTCAGAAGACTGGCTCATCCGCCTCGCCCAGCTCCGCTCCCCACGCAACGGACGCAAGCTCAAGAAGTTCATGGGTCTCAAGGCCGGATACCTCACCGCCTTGTGCTACCCAGACTGCCCGCGGACGGAGCTGCGCGTCGTCTCCGACTACATGAACTTCCTCTTCACGCTCGATGACTGGAGCGACGAGTTCGCGGAGGCAGGCGTCAGGGGCCTGGAGCAGTGCGTTATGGGCATGCTCTACGATCCGACCGTGAAGACGGACAAGGCTGCGGGGCGCCTTGCGAGGAGGTAAGCTGGAGCTTTGCCACTTAAAATGCCATATGAAAGCTCACGTCTGCGTCGTCTCGTAGCTTCTGGCTGAGGATGATACGTACCGCCGGTCCCCGAGTGCAGCACCGCTTTATCGTCGCGTTCGAGGATTTCTTCCGGGCCGTCGAGCAGCAGTCACGGGACCGCGCCAAAGGCGTAATGCCAGACCTCGAGTCGTACATCGCGCTCCGTCGCGATACGAGCGGATGTAGACCTGTGTTCGTTCTCGCGGAATACGCAGCCGGCATCGAACTACCAGATGAGGTATTCGAGCACCCCATCATCCAGTCTATGACCGAGGCGACGAACGACCTCGTCACCTGGTCGAACGTAAGTCGATTTACTGTTTGTAAGCACGAATCATCAGCATACTGACGGAATTATTTAGGACGTCTTCTCTTATAACAAAGAGCAAGCGTTGGGAGACACGCACAACATGATAACTTTGCTCATGGCGCAGCACGGGCTATCCCTCCAGGGCGCTGTCGACTTCGTTGGCCAGCTTTGCGCCGCCTCCATCACGCGCTTCGAGTCGGGTCGTACCACACTCCCGTCGTGGGGTCCGGACGTCGACTGTGACGTGCAGAAGTACGTTATGGGGTTACAGGACTGGATCGCCGGCTCGCTTCATTGGAGCTTCGAGACGGAGCGGTACTTTGGTAAGCGGGGAAAGGAGGTCAGACAGGCTGGTGTCGTAAAATTGTCGCCGATGAAGGCGCCGAAGAAGGTTTAATGTAGTGAACGGCATAGCCAACTCACAAACACGGAGTCGTACGGCTTCTCCCTCTTCATGATAGCATTGCACATAGATACTTCGCATTTCTCACTCTGGGCTTTTCGGGGCGTTGGACACCCTTCGACCTTCTCATCCTTCGTCTGCCCGCTTTCTTCACGATCACGCACTTGTTATGTCATGTCACGCATACTCTACTCATCGGTATCCATCTGTTGCTTGAATCAATGAATCAGACCACGTTGTACAGTTAACGCGAAATAGCTCATCAAAGTGATTGTATTGACTCTGTGATTCAGAAGAACTCATGTCGGTATGTTACAACACGGAACTATATAGCATGGGATATATACACATTCTACTGGCAAGAACGAAAAGCTAAAACGCTACCAAAAACTGATGACTCCTGTATATGACACGTCAACCAGTGCGACCCAAAGACAATGCCCATAAAACCCGAGGGAAACTACACGATACCTTCGACTGAGCGTAGCACTCTGTCCATCTAATACAAACTCTTTTGCCCCAGCTCCTCCGGCAAATACGAAGCGAGCCTGAGCGAGCCAAATGCGACGAACATCAACAGCACGTATACCGCGTACCCTCCCATAACATCGTGCCCCGCCGAATACGCGAACATCGAAGTCGCAACGGCCGGTCCAACGGCGCGCGCGATGGATCCCGTCATCTGTGCAAGACCGTTTGTCGCACCGAGCGATCTCTTGTTCGGAGCGGCGGCCGTGATGAACATCATGATACAACCTAGAGACGCATCAGTACATACACCTCCGACCAGGAAAATGCGTGAACTCACTGAATGAAGAGTCTTGCAGAACCGCGCATATTAGGACGATGGCCAGCAAGCCCCACACAGTTGGCGTCATTCCCTGATTGAACGTGATATAGTTCGCAAGCGGACAGCACAAGAAGACCGGGATGTACGCGGTGACTCCTAGGGTAAAGAAGGTCTTGGGTCCCAGCCGTCCAATGATTGGGGCGAAACAAAAGGCCTGGAAGAAACCATTGATGAAGCCGAAGATGATAAGACAATAACCAATTTGACGAGGATCGAATCCGAGACCGCCGAGCTCGATAGGCGTCGAAAAGTAAAGGGGAATGAGAACGTATATAGACGTCTCCAAGATCGCGATCACGCCGTAGTTGGCGACGAGTGTCAGAATCGACGGTATCAGGAGTGCACGTAGAGGGACAGGTTCGTCATCGGTTTTGGTAGAATCTGAGGATCCAAACGTCCCATATCCATCGGCGGACCCTTCGCGGTCTGAGAGCAGCCCGCTTTTGTCGTGTGTAGATCTGCGGGGAAGGGTCTGGATCACATAGGCTGTTAGTGCAAGAACAGGAGTGTCACACATTGACTTACCTCTTTCAAGAAGAAAAGCATGATCAAGAATGTAAACATCGCGAACCCAGCAGCAATAGCGGACGGAAGGAAGTATGGATACTCTGCCCAGAACGCCCCGCTGAAGAGATGGGGCCAGTGGTCCTGCGGACGGGATAAAATTCCACCGATGGCAGGGCTGGGATCGAACACGTCACGTTGATATGCAAAACTGCGCGAACCAAGACTTACCCAAGGACACCTCCGGTAGACCAGGCGATAGGCATGAGCGAGAACGCCCGGGCCATATTCGTCGAGTCGGACATCTCGCCCATCATGCTTTTCATCACACCGATGTTCCCATTGAGAGCCCCAGTTATACACCGGCTAGAAGAGCGGGTCAGGCAATGTCGGTATCAAATAAAAGAACATAGAATGGATGTTCACCTCAACACCAATGTGGTGAACGTTTTCGAGAGCCCGAAGCAGAGCATAGACAACGAAAGGGCGAAGGTTCCCAAGAGCAAGACCGGCTTCCGGCCCACCCGGTCCGACAAGCGGCTGTAGTGCAATATTGTGAGGAATTGCGTAAAAAAGAACAGCGATTCCTATGCAAATGTTAGTCATCGATGCTTAACAGCCGTGTATGGTGCCAGATCTTACTATGAGCCCTGCGTAATAGCCTGTACGGACATTGAGCGTTTGATTAGAAAGAAATGTGAAACATATGACACACCAACTTTTGCATCGTCATCACTAAATGGGTGGGAAAAGTTTGACCGTTATACCGAGTGCATCACTAAAAGTGCGCTGGGCTTACATGCCGACAATAAGGTCCATAATTGCTTACAAGGGTCACAGCAGCCGGAGTAACTTAGGGTACCTCACAAGTCAAACAAAGCAGCTTCAACTTTGACAAGATGAGGAGGATTTGACAGAAGTTGAAGCGACCGTGTCAACACCCGAGTGATGTTACAAGGCTGGGTCTGCTTACAGGCACTGTGGCCCTTGTAGGTGGCATAGTGACTGTGTCCGGGTGCAACATCATGAGTACAGTGACCATATATTAATCACACCTCTTATGAGCCAAAAATTACGATTATAGCACACTTCTTATTGTCATGCATTGTCATATCATACTTGAACCCGACTAATGTACGACAGCAATAATACGTGATTAAGAGAAGGGTACCCAGAGGGTAGCCGCTGACAATGCAAGGGAGTACACAAAGCGGAGGTGAGCATAAGGCCCATACAAAGCGAGGTGTACATGACTAAGCGCGCAAGAAATGCACATAACATAATAATAATAGTGATAATAATAATAGGTGACAGGTGGCAAGAGGGTGGTGCATCATGGCGGGGAGAAGGTTGCCGGCGAGACGAAATCAGGCGAGAGATGCCCGTCTCTTAAGTACCAGAAACTCTGGCATTCCAAAGTCCTTCTGCTTCTTCTACGCCCTTTTGTCCTTTCACCCGTTCCCGCTTCTCTGGTTCTCTTGCTTCTCCCGAAACTCCCGAACCGTCATGAGCTGTCTACTTCTGCATTCAGACATTCTGGGATAATGAATCTATGCTATACAGTATATATATTGGCTTGTGTTGTGTGGTTGATTTCGGATGGTCGCGCAAGTAGAATATAGGGGAGTTGCCGCATTTGTCATCGGAGTCTGAAATTGAATTCGCGACGCTGTCAATTATCTCTTTAATTTCGAGTCCCTGTTGTTTCTTCGCTCCACATGTGCTGTCACACATACAGGAAAACGCTCTTGGGCAGAACACTTGTTCTGGGCGGCTTCCCTTTGACAGCACATGTTGGATTTGGCCCCAAAAACCAAAACCCACCTCACACGCTGTCAGAAACACGAGTTGTTCATTTGTGGGTTACTATCCCTAACCTTAGCCCGGAGTAGTGCGCCAGCGCGTACAAGCCCGTTGTCGGTGTGTGAGTAGTCTTGTCAAACATACACGGTTCTGGAAAGGCAGCGACATAGATAGAGTGATAATGACAAGCTAACTTGATGCCTTGTCAAACGACACCCCATTTAGACAAAGTTCACATTGCTTTACAATTCGAGCATGAACTTCACAGCGCCTTGCAGACGCGATTGGAATTCTGCAGACTTCCGATATATTCTACAAGAGCTCGTATACGAACGTAATCTCTCAGAATGCATGATAAGGTAAACCCGGTTCTGACAACGGCCACAGTGGTCGATTGTCCGGCCGCACTTTCTGTGATGTGATCACCGTTATAATATCGTCATCGAGACAGTTTTGCATGATCACGAATGGTGACGCATTCCCATTGAGTGAACATATCGTTACGGTATGGCAGTGAATTTCGGCCGAACACCATGTCGCGGACACTTTACCATTGATCAAAATTGATGATCTTGCTCGTACATTTGTTGGTCGAATATAAAATACGGAGACCATCTCAGAAACAAAATTATCATTGAGCGATAACTTCAACTGCATATGGCAGCCACCGCTTTAGGTAGACACGAACACTAACGAACAATAAAAACGGTAGAGATTCGAATACCCGCTGACCTTTATAATGATGCAAACCCGGTTGCATTGGTGAGAGCCTCGTCTTCACCCAAAAAAAGCCCTTCATTCATGCATGCTGCAGTCTCTGCCTCAGCAAGCTCTGCTGTGTCTCCTTTTTCATCACTGGTATCACCACTCTCTGTTGGAGTGAGGTTGTACACCGCTCCGGCGTTGGTCTGGTGGATGGCTCGGGATGCCCGGGAGAAGCGGAGAAGCGGACAGAGGACGGTTTGGGATGCTTGGGAGAAGCAGAGAAGCGGATAGAGGACAGCTCGGGATGCTCGGGAGAGGTAGAGAAGCAGAGAAGCGGGACAACGTGAAGGGATAAAGGTTGGAATGCATGGGGTCGCCGACATGTATATATGGGCGACCTCTCCCCTTGCTTTCCCCCATCCGCATGTACTACTGCGTATGGGGGTAAGCACATTTTGCTCACTATGCGATACAGGACACACACTGACACTTGCTCTATAGTCTAATATACTATAGCTTCTAACAACCACATCCTCCGGTAGCGCGGCACCAGAGAGCGCTGTCGAGTCCGACCTCCCCTCAATTGAAGAAGATCCAGTGCCAGCGCCAAAACCTGCCACTCGAACCAGGGCAAAGAGTGCCAGGATCAGTACAGGGGGAAAACCACCGGCGAAGAGGACTGGCAACTAGGTATATTATATCAGTGTATCACTGCTTCATTTCGCTCACGTCCCCTCCCTTCGCAGAGATTGTTTGTCCCGGGCCTGTGTTCGCCCAAATGTATGTTTTTATTTTCTTGCTCCCTTCCAGCTTTCGCTTCACGGTCTATAAGCTTTAATTCTTTCTTTGTACTTCCTGCGCTCATCTACTGCTGCTGATCTTGTGTCCCTGCTCTCGTGCATCCTTGCTGCTCTTGTGTGTTAACTTTGTTAGTCGGTTTAATCTCGAATAATGCTACATCATGTACTATATAATATTCACAATGAATGTCTTGTTATTGGAATCATGGGCGAGATTGCGAGTCCTCATCATATGGTGTGAGTTTTGATCATACGGCATAAAACACTAGCCGTTCTTATCATGTAATTATCATGCAGGCTCCGTCAACGGTAAGATAGCCATCAATATTATAATATCATCCCTGATCTGACCATTTCACCGTCTGATTTTGGTCTGATTTCCCATATGTTAAAAACGGACTTTACACTCCACTCGTGCTGGAGATTCGAAATATCATTAAGGTACGGTGTCAGTTATAACTGATTCTACTACTGCTCATGTACTTATATTCGATCCGCCCATTTAGTGATGGTCTCCCCCAGTGATGTCCAGCTCACCGATGAGCTACACAAATAATGCAATGAGCACCCGTTTCGCAAGAGAAGCGTACTGTCGCCAACCTGGTTGATGTACGGATATATGGAGCCAGACGCGACGGGCTCGATGATGAGCCCCAGCATGACAATTAGGATTTGCCCTCTAGGTAACGGGTTTCCCTTTGACTTCCGCTGTTCAGGCTGCTCAGAGAGGAGCCCGACACTCTGCTGGACAGCTTCATCGCGAACGGGCTCGGGAGGCGCAGCCTGCATCACACTAGGAGGTAGGTGGATGGAGGACGGAGGGAAAAGATGCCAGCTTGCAGCGCAAAGATCAACCAGAGTTTTATCCCCAGAGAATGCGGCACGCAATCCACAATCAACGAGAAGGTCATCGTATCTGGTAAGAGTGGGTCGGTGACTGAAATCAAATGAAACACCCGCTTGAGCGACTGAATTCCGATAAAAATGCACCGAAACTTCACGAACGTACGGGCGTTATCCGCTATAGGGGAAAGGCATTACACAGAAAATGAGCGACGGTCCATACCGCCAGAGTGCTATGATCCTGGATCCGATGCGTCCTTTATGCCGCCTGGTGTTCCGACGTGCAAGCGATGCGGAGGCCATGAGATGGGCATAGACAGGAGGTTGGTTTTAGTAATGAATAGGGGCAGTTCCCATAGGCGAACAATTATTGAGAGTCCGTCGTTCGAGAATTTGATGGAAAGATTGTTTGACGTGTATGCACCTCGGTCGACGGTCCGTGCGCCGTTGCATGCGTGAAACGGGGAAGAGCGTACATACACACCTGACCAGATGAGCTTAACTGCGGTCTACGAAGACAAGCGCAGTTCTATACGGGAATGTGGAAGATGCAAACTTACGATGATGGTGAGACAGAAGAGATGTCGAAGAGAATGCTGTGAAGAATTCGCTGTTACGCAACATGCCGGACAACGACCGTTATCCGCTGCGTGGGATGAATGTGGCTGAAGATTTGGCAACCGTTTACCAAGGAAGTGGAGCGTCCTTCTTTCGTGAAGGCATGATCCGGAGCTCGTAAGCTGGAGTGAACGGGTGTGAAGAAGATTCAGAGAAGCCAATGCAGGTAGTGTTAGTAGGGGATAACGCAGTCAGAAGACGACGATGAGATAGGGGTAACACGCGCACATCTCTTTCGCTCGTGATTCGGGGCGCCCAACATCCTCTCGTCTTCACTGCACTCCCGAGTATGGGTGGAATCGCCCCGACGTAAGCAGGGTTTGTGGTCCATATCAACAAAGCGGCTGAAAGCGGGCCTCTTCGCAGCTGCGATCGGAATACGGAAAAAGATACTAAGCATGTCAGCCATTTGGGCGACCACTGCGTTCGAAATGAGCGAGCGTACAGTACCTTGAAGCAAAGGTTGATTTTTCAGCTCGGCCTCAACTGCTGAAGCCCTATCCACCCATTTGGAGCTTCACCTCACTTTGGGAGAACGGGGAGTGTTTATAAGGCTCAGACCATGCTTCTTCGCCTCTACCAGTCGAGTGTAAGATACTTCCGCCACAATAAGTCTGCGAACGGAAGCCACCATCGCTTCAAGGTTGTTTCCCCTCGTGTAAAAGTCAACGTACCTTTGATAGGTATTGCAAGAACAAGAACGGAACAATACCGCACTGTGGGATATCCAGCCTCAAGCCCTGGTCAATGTCCCCCTCGCTTCCGTATGCTTAAGCGGTTTCGGGATTTTGAAGACATAAGGCTAGTGGTCCAAGGTTGGACTGTTTCAGGAAGGAGAGTCCACAAATCGGACGTCTGCAGCGATGTCGAGGAGCAAGATGGCGAGAACGATGGTTAAATGTTCCGAATTGGGCAACGCGGGTGATGGTCACCAAATATGACGCAACAAACCTTTCGCCAGTTGAACTCGAACTGCCTTCTACATCTACGCACGGGTGCCATATAATCCACTAACCTTTAAAGCACCTCAATTAACTCATCAATGCATCGGTCCCCAAGAAATCTCAAAGCGATGATGAAATCCCACGAGTGCTCTCCAGCGTCTATTTCGCATCGCCTTGACGGAAGCATTTTAGACTTTCTCGTATTATTTAGCCGGGCCGACGAAGTCACGCCTTTATGGCAACCCCATACGCCGAGGACCTGTCAAAGGTGACACGAACAGTTCTGATGAAGAAGTAAAAGCTGGCAGATGACGCATGATGAGGCGGGGCCATGAATGGAACACCAGAAGACAAACAATGCAGCAGCCACATTCGCTTCGTGACCATGGGTAGGGTGGATATCGATAAGGAATCTTTCCGTTATGGCAGAGACATTGAAATATCAACATCATAAAGCTCGATGACAACACCTGTCCGGCACCACGAGTGAGCTAGAGGAACGAGGGCGCCCGATGACAGGAAGATATTCGCTGGATGGTTTTGCGCTCGATTCCAGCGACTAATCGCTACCTGGTTGCTGCCTCGAGGCTGATCTCCAGGCCTAGCTTGTTCTTGCTTGGTAACCTCCGAGCCAGCTCTTGCACAACCAATCAGCAGCGGGCCTCCATGTCCGCTGCGATCGTGGACTGGACGCACTTGTTGGTCCTGTCACTTGTCACTCGTCTTGTATATCTCCGAGCAGTCTCCACTTCTGTGGGCCTCTCCTACGGTCACTGACATTGGCCGCGAAGGATAGCACGCTTTGAACCAGGTAACTCGCCTCCTTCCATCACTCCGAGTCGGCAAACGACGTGGCATTGCCTCCAGCGTCCTCCTGTAGACCTTACTCACACAGTCAAGCGCCGTGATCATCCACCCTGCGACCGCACCCACTGTGGGCAAGATAATTATTGTACGACCCATCCCGACATCGTTAGGTCCGCGAAGCTCCCTATTCGCCTCCTGTTAACAAGGATATGACTTCGAAGAAGACTCTAAAGAATCTAAGGTCTAAGGCTCCAACATTGCGTATACATTTAAAGTGAAAACCCCCACAACCACAACCACTCCGACTGACAGATGACAGGTAAGCAGTCCCCGTTCTCCGAGGTTGATATGATGCATCCGCGTCGAGACCGCTGTGCTTATGCAAGATCTAGGATCAGTGATTCGGATCACAAGCGCCTAATTCAGGTAAGTGAACTGTCAAGCAAGACTAAGAAGCAAGGTCAAGCTCGGCAAGACGGCTTCCCGCGAATCTGCCCTCTGCCGGTGGCTTTTTGCGCTGGACGCTACTCGACGTGCAGCTCGAGGTCGAGGTCATAGGAGAAATCTGATATGATAATGGACAGGGAAAACGTGCTGAGTAGTAATGAATCCACCAAACCTGAATCAAAAGTGACCCATTCATTTTCGTATTGGCTGGTAAGACTCATCGAACGCAGGCCGACCGGCATCTTGCACTCGCAATATTAATAACGGGTCGGCGCTCATCATCATCAAACCTTCGGAACTTCACCTTCACACAAGACGCACGTTTGCAGTGCTACGCCGTTCAGCTCCACCAGCGCCACCCCCTTACTATTCTTTGCAGCCTAACCTACCCGCGGAGTGATGATAGCGATAGCGATCCCACCCCCGGCGCCGTAGCTTTTCTCGCGGTCCACCAAACCTCTAACGTGTACTTTGCCTCCCGCTAACGTGCAAGCACTCAATCTTAAATGCAGCTAATCTCAGAAAAGCCCGGGATAGCGCCCGTGATGCTACGTACAATGATCTCCACATGTTGTGGCGAAATATGTACCACACAAAGATGCCAGGCCATGTGAGTGCGGGCACGCGGACGAGGACCTGGAGTTGTATGAATGAATGAATGAAAAGATGGCGGAAACTACCGTTGCTAGTACCAGATCCCTTGTTTCGTTTCCGAAATTACTTGTGTACCTACTAGGTACACGATACCACCCTGTACATGATTGGAGGACGGACCTTAGGACCATGATCATGAAACCTCGGAGCTTGCAGTGGAGGTCAGCGGCGAATCCACCTATCATCTTCTAGTTACCATGGTCTTAGGAGATGACTCGCCAAATTGACGCACACCAGCAGCACGGACATGAATATACAGGATCTCGAAACCTTGAGCTTATAGCATAATGAACTCATCCGTATCATGCGCCCGTGCTCGACACGGTTAGCGGCGCGCTCCGTCGCCGACTCGACGGCGTGGGGTATCAGGGCCGTGCCTGCATTAAAGCTTATTAGAAAACGGATCACATTGAGCTGTATGACTCCCAAATTCGAGCCATATCAAGCTATTCAGCATCGGCCTCTAACAACAGCGCGACATTTAAGTCCGCGAGGAACTGTCACTCATACCATAAGTCAATGGCATCTTCCGACTTCAAGGCTTCATATCCGTTTCATAGGACCCACTGAAGACTGTTGACGATTTCACAAGGTTATGATTGCTACGCTGTAACAACAATTATGTACATGTACAGTGAAAGTGCCTGCCCATATACCTAACGCTTGCTTCGAGAAGGAAAATATCGTACTATCGCCTAGCTAGAGAGAAGAGAAAAACAGAGATCCGATCAAAGACTAGAAGCAGAAGACAAGAGAGAAGAAATGTGTGCCGATGGAATGCACCTGATAAAGAAGTTAGGAACAATAGTGCTGTCTACAATGCGTGTTGGTACTCTATATGGTATGGTAATGCAAGAAATGGATTTATGTTAATCGTTCGTGGTAAAATATGAAAAGGAAACTTGCGCGTGAAGAGGAATGGGATGTTTTGAGGGGGGAAGGTATGGTGGATGTGGGTAACCGTATGATACAGTCATGAGGGTTCATGATATAAAGAAGAGCCCAGAGAGATTAGAAACGCGCCACGTGGTGGCGCATGTACATTTTCCACTCGTGTTCTTAGCTCGATTCTTCCTTGTCGGAACCGTGGAGGCTCGGGGGCAGCCTCGAGGCGAGGAAGACCCCGAATAATGCGATGACGGTGAAGATCACATAGACGGCATGGCCGCCTAGAAGATTATGGTCCAGCGAGTAAGCGAACGCGGCGGTGGAGACTGCGGGGCCAATCGCACGGGCGATAGAGGCAGTGGTTTGCGCTAATCCGTTCACTGCTCCAAGGCAGCGCTTGTTGGGTGCCACCGACGTAATGTACATTAGAATACATCCTGCGAATCACGATCAGCGATGCAAACATTGAGAAGCACAGAGCCTGACGTACCATATCCCATGTCCTGAACAACCGCGAGTAGTAGCTGAACAGTCATCATGGCCCACACGAGAGGGCTGACGCCCTCGCGCTGAGCGGTCACGCTGATAATAGGGTACATCGTAAAGATCACAACGTCCGCGACGATAGCGGCGCAGAAGAGTTTTTTCGGTCCGATCCACTGTACTATGGGAGCGAAGAAGAACGCCTGAACAAGTCCGTTCGCAATTCCAAAGAGACCCATCCAGAGGCCGATAGTGCGAGTGGAGAGGTCCAAACCGCCGAACTCTAGAGGCGTTGAGTAGAATAGGGGCTGAATGGAGTAATACGCGATTTCGAGGGTGGCGAGCATGCCATAGTTTGCGACGCAAACGAATACAGGCGGAGTGAGAAGGGACCGCATGGGAATGGGCTCTTCAGGGTTGGAACTGTAGGGAGGCGGAGATGAACAGAGCGGTTGAGCCGCATTGTCAACTGCGCCATACTCGGCAGTACTGTCGAGCAACCACGAGCGGCGTTTCTCAGCAGTTGATTGTTTTTTGACGGTCTAGACGGGCAGCGGTTAATTGCACAGCAGCACAGGACGTAAACAAGGGCTCTTACCTCCTTCAAAAAGAAAACGATGAGGACGAAAACGATCATCGCAAACCCAGAAGAAATCGCGCATGGGAGGAAGTATGGATAATCGGCCCAAAACTTCCCAGCGAAGATATGCGGCCACTGATCTTGCGGTCTGGCCAGAGAGCCGCCGACGATCGGACTATACAATATGTCTAGGGTCAGAAGCAACGTTGCCGGCGGCCAAGGAAGCGACGTTACCCGAGAGTCACGCCCAGAGAAAAAGCGATGGGAATGAGAGCGAAGCCCTGGGCCATGTTTGTAGCGTCAGTGAGCTCGCCGAGCATGCTCTTCATCACGCCAATGTTGCCATTGAGTGCCCCAGTAATGCAACGGCTGGTAACATAGGATCAGATAAACGTCGGTTTTGGGTGGACGGCAATCAACGTACCTGAGAATAAGACTCCAGAATGTGCGTGACAGACCGAAGCAGAGCATGGAGAGGGCGAGACCGAAGATGCCGAGGAGCAACACTGGCTTGCGTCCAAAGCGGTCCGAAAGACGACTGTACTGGAAGACCGTCATGGCCTGGGTCACGTAGAACAGCGACTCCTACACATGCGGGCGAAAAAGGTCAGGTCAATATATGCGTCTCAAAATCCATCGGCCATTTAGTGGTACTCACGACCAAGCCAGCGTAGTACCCTAAAAGTCCATGCGACGTCAGCAAAGTGTCAGGCAACCAACAACACGTGCATATAGGCACTCACCAATCTTCCGGTCATCGCCACCAGTAATATTGAGCTCACCGATTAGCTGTTGCACGTGTCAGTCAACTGTAGATCACTACGAGCGAAAAACGCGGTGCTAAAACGAACCTGGTTAATGAACGGGTAGATAACGAGCGCAGCAAAGGGCTCGATGATCTGGGCCAGGAGGAGGATGCCGATCTGGCCTTTTGGCAGTGGGGTGACTGCTTTTTTGCCGGGGAGGAGGGCAGAGTCCTCGGTGTAGATGGCGACAGTCATGGAAAGAGAGGGCGAAGAGAGGTGGGCTGAGGACGGCGTTCTTGCTGGGTTGGATTTCTGACCTATATACCGCGTCTGGGTTCGAAGCCTCGGATCCGCGTCACCGCTATCCGGCAGCCAGATTGAGCCAGTCCTTTGGCGCCAGATGTCCAAGGGATCCGAATAACTTAATAAGGTCCAGGTCATTGACGTTAATTACGGCATTCCGCACAACGAAATCGACCGGTCCCATCAGTCCTTTCTCCACTCACTGCTTCCTGCTACCCGGCCGTCTGGTCACGCCGGTCGGATCGAACTAATCGAACCCGCGCGCAATCGCGCCATAAATATATCAAACCGAACTGATATGTTTTCTATGTCCTATGTACATAGCTTTATCCCGCGAACCGAACAGCTGCCACAACAAGCACATGCTCACTCGCAACTTCGTCTCGCGCCATACTCTCCATCCCGTCATGGTATCCTCCGACGGCACAGGCAGCGCCCAATCTCCCCTTGCACGATCTCGGGACATGGCCTGGTAAAGAGACGAAATCAGTACTTTGATTCCGATTTCAAGTTCCGAAGATGAAAGCATGGGGAACAGGGTCAACCCATCGAGGAAATTTTAAAGTCAGGCTTGGAAGTTACAATCAAGGCTGCGAGAGCTCAGAAACAGCTTCTAGTTGATTATTGTTTTATAGTCTCATCGTGTGATACAATAAAGGGGTACGAGGGATAAACTTTATATCATAATACTCACATTAAGGCAAGAGAGCTGAGGTCCACGACGTTCATCAATGGAGGCGAGGTTCAATGACCTACGTGATAATGGTCAGCGACGAACAAGATATCAACTGTGATGCAGATGGATCAGAGGGGGTTGCCCGGAAAAATGAGCTGTGGCGGGCACTTTCGGCATTGATAATACGAAGACCGTCGTGATAGAAACATCATAGAAGATTGCGCAACAGTTGAACCAGGCTTACCTCGTGACTGCAGTACGGCAGCGCGTATAGTATGCACGGGAACGGCAGCGGCCGCACGACTGGGAAACCCGGCATCTGAAACCAAGTGTATCAGCTAGAATTCACGAAGGACACAGCGATAAAGCGTGGGCTCAGAATTTTATAATAAAACAGCCAGGAGTTTTCGTCACGTAGATCAGGCGGTAACTCCATGATAACATCATAGGAAAGAAGCTGGCAGCAAGGACGCGAGCTCACCTCGGGCGGGCCCGGATGGCTCAATACTAGGCTTGTGTGCCGGATCTTCAGGTGGTAAACAAGAGTCTCAGAGGTCCGTTCTGACGGGGATGCTAAAAAAAAAAGGGACAACAGTCAGCATTGACATCAAGCGGTCGAAGCAAGGATAGTGCGATGGAGAATCAGTAGATTATAAAAGGAAAGCATTGAGCCAAAGTGTTTCTCTGGCGCTCAGATACTCTAGTTTGAAAAAAATGGTTCATCTCGAGCTAGGCGCGGGCGGGCGCATAGATAGAGCGAGACGGGAAGGATCTTGAAGGGAATCACTCACATGTGTCAAGGCTGCTACCGCGATCGCACGCGTGTACATCTAGACTGGATCATGCTGTCGGCGGAGCATACGTGAGTGGCTGTGCGAGGGGGGTATGGGAGTGCTAGGGGAGCAGACGGGTATTAGCTTCTGCGACGCATCTGGAGAAGTTTGATATAAAAAGAGACGGAAATATCAGTGTAACTATGACAAAAGCGTACACCGTGGTGGACTGGTAGTGACCAACACTCGCGAAAAGTGGAAGTTATCATCTTGAAGGCAAAAGGGGGCAAAAGAGGGAGAGGAAAGACGCGGAAAACTCACCGTCTGAGGGTCGAAAAGATACGATCTGTGATGATACGAAGATGCGAAGGAAAAGTTTGCACAGCGTTGAGAAAAGTTGGCTCGGATGGGTTTAGGGCCGGCCCTTGATCACGGAATTTGCCGAAGAACTGCCATATTGAGGCGTTAAGCCCTTGTGGCTGGATAGAGGAAACCTCTCAAAACGTCGAGAACCTGTCTGGATTTTGGCTTAAAGTTCAATGGGATATTTCCATTTCTCAATATCAGAACGTCGTCCTCTCGCAATAGCTATTCACTTTTCTCGCAAGCACACGCCAAACAACTGGAATATCAGCGTCATCGCAGTGGAGTCGCAGCTTTGACAGGGTTGAGTGGATTCACCGAGCAGCATGTGGTTAAAAATCGAAGTAGAAGCCTCGAGTGCCATCGCATAGTAGCAAAATCCACCTCCAAGAGCTTTCAATTTGAGACCTCCTGTGATCTCGGCCTCGCTAGGCGTGCTCAAAACCCGGAGGACCTTGTACCAGAGTTGTGGCGATGCTGGCGGACTTAACACGCGACCGAGCCAGCGACGGAGCTCGAATCAGTCCTTCCGGCTATTGGCTTTGCTTGTCTCGTCGGCCCCAGAGACTCCGAGAACGCTATCGAGCCCAAATCAAGCTGGCTCACGTCCCAGTTTTCTCGGTCCTTGTCTCAACCTGTTTAGTTCAGGAGGCCGGCTAACGTTGTTATCTTCGAACTTCGCTGTTGCCACAAGACGACAAAATGACAAGATATGTCAACGCCCTATCCTTCGGGTGATCGTACGGACGAGATCTTGCTAGATCCTTCCATAGATGCTTTCTCACCCGTAAGTCAGCCTCTACTTAAGTACTTATGAGAGCCTCGGGCGGCACCAATATGACGCTGGTAATGGCCACCATGCCTCCGCTGATCCGCTCTTACTCGCTAGCGCGCTCGCCTCTGCTCGGGCACTCCCATATGCCTATGCGATGCCATCGTCCTGCTTGCGCACCCGCGGCATGCGCGCGTGCATTTTCGTGGTGCGTTCTTTGTGGGGGAACCCAAAATAAACTCAAAAAGGTACATCGGACGCAAATCTCTCCCGTGGCGTGCCGCGCGAAACATAATGTATATTGTCTGACATCGCCTTCCGGCTTCTCGAGGCGGCGAAGCCAGTTCGTTCATAACCCGACAGTACGAACCTGACCCGAGCCAGAAGCTCTCCGGGCTCCATCGCTATTTCTCAATCTTCTTCTTTGTTCTCCTCTCTTCGGAAGTTCGAATGGGAAGAGGGCGGCTGGGGTGAGTATAGGAATAGCGCATCCTTTGCGTTCTCTACGTACCATCAGCCATGGTTTTATCATCTCTCACATGTTATGCGCCGGTTTGGAGTTTCACCGGTAGGTCCATGAAAGACCTGATACACTGTTTTCACGGAACTTTGCGCTATTAACACGTTCTAAGGCCCACGGAAGGCGGGAAATGTTTCCTGCCACGCCTCATTGATGTTGCCCAGCTCATGAGACACCTCAGGAAACAATACAAAGGCATAGTTCTTGCTTTGGTCGCCGGTGACTAATTGACCAACTGCATTGGTCCTAATTCGTAGACACGTTCCCTAGTGCACGCATGCTAACAAAAGCATCCCAGACGGCGATGTCGCAGTGAGCTTATGATCAGTAAATTCTTCCTTCTAGGGTTACTAGCCCCCGTTCTCATATGTGCGACTCGGACTCCGTGGCCATACCCGTCTCTCGCTGATTGCCATACTCCACCGTTCGCGAAGGAAGACCCTTAAACCTGTTCCTCGTGAGGCGCATAAATTTAACAGCTCCAACTGTTGAAACGCCGTTCCCGTTCATGAAGATTAGTAGGCAGGACCGTAGTATCTCCGAGAAATGAAACTAACATTGCGTCTAATCCGACCTGGGCCGAATAGATTATTGGACGGTACCACGGGTCCCTAGTGCTCTCTCGCCTGCAAACGACGCTTGTGGTCCTCGTCAACGGGTTGTGTAATGTCTTTGCTTCTTTGGTGGCGCCCTGGGCTTGATTCATCATATTTTTGCTGAGATGCGCTGTTGGGTGAACCTCTAGCATCATGCCCTATAATATTAACCACCAGTAGTATTGTCCAACATAGCGGTTATCTCGAAGTCTCACTCTCCCCATGACTTCGTCTTCTTAAGCCCTTTCCGGTTGCCCGCTGTATTCCTTGTCGAACTCATCTCTATGTTGACATTACATATGACCTTTTCATAACCACTTCAAGATGCTCCAGAAGCTGTGTCCGTTTGCATCGTTACGTTCAACTTCTCACTGCTTCAGCGCCACCTCAAAACTCGATCATTGGCTGCTCACCAACACTTGTCCCAACTCGTGAGGCATGCAAGGCGGGCATAGTCTCTGTAACATACCTACATCGCACCCACCTCTCTACATCGAAATATGAACTCCCTTGGCTCCGCCGACGCCTTGTCTTTCAGCATCCCTTCAATACACCTCCGAGTCCCTACGCACCCGCCTTCGAATCAACATCCAAGCTCTCCGACCAGCTCTCAAACCTCGCGACCTCCTCCTCTACCCGCTTCAGCTTCCGCCTCGCCTCGCTGATCGCGCCCTGGAGCAGCGGCACACGCATCGGCGGGTCCTCGAGGTGCGCGATCCGGTCGATGATCGCGCAGATCTTCTTCGGATCGCCATCGAGCTGCGGACTGGCGTGCCACTGCCGCATGTACTGCATCATCGGAGACGAGTTGTTTTCGTATGCCGGATGCACTGATGCGTGCGGGGCCGAGTTGAAGACGATGGTGTTGGCGGGGCCGGTGCCAATGATGGTAACCTTTTGGAGAAATGTCAGCGCGCGTTGCCTGTGTGGGGAAGCGAAGATGGTCAAGGTCGGGGGTTTCGACATACCTTGATGTTCCATTCGGGGTTGAGTTCGTCTGCAAGAGCCTCGGACATACCCTCGAGAGCTTTAGGTTGACAGGTCAGAACAGCAGCGCTCTCTTTCCTTGGTTTTACTCACCAAATTTACTGTAGGTATGATCCGTAAACCTCAGTCAGTCCGATCACTGCAGCAGAACAACGAAGCGCTCACGAAGCCGCATAAAACCCTACCAGGGCCGTCCCATACATTCCAGACGTCGACGAGTGCTGCAGTAGCCTTCCTCCCGCCGGCTTATTAACGTCGCGGAAGAACCTCACAGCTTCGACAGAAACGTTCTTAGCGCCCCAGAAGTTCGTCTCCATCACCCGTCTCGCAACCTCGTCGGACGTGTTTTCGACTTCGCCCACGGCGGCCATGCCTGCGTTGTTGAACACAACATCGATGCGCCCGAATGCCTCGCCAGCCCGCTTGAACGCATCCGCGATCTGCTCGGGGCGGGTGACGTCGAGCGGGAGGACGAGAAGCTGAGAGCTCGGGTATTGCTGCGTGAGATCGGCGAGGACCTCTGGCTTGCGCAGCGTGGCGATGACTTTGTCGCCCTTGCCGAGCAGCTGCTCAGTAAGCTCACGACCGAACCCGGTCGATGCGCCAGTGACTATTGGCGGGGTAGGTCAGGCGGAGTGAATCATCAATGGAGGTACTTACTGAACCAAATAGTAGGGGACGATGGCATGGTAGCGACACTGTGGCGAGAGTTAGAGCAGGCCGTGCATTATATCATGCGTTTATCCGTCTGAAACAGTATTGCGACAACGCGCTCAGAGATACGAATGATGCGCCTGTGCCCCACAGCCGTGCCACATAGCACCCATGACACATTCGGATATAGTTTCTTGCCGTGACATCGGAGTGTAACAGGGGCTAATTGCCATAAGTTAATGATTGGCAAGGGTGGTATCACAATCTGTACGACTTTACACAAACGACAAAAGGATATGGTCTAGAAAGACGTATGTCTCGTCAGTGCGAGGCGCTCACTCTTTCCACGTTCCAGGACCGAAATCTCTCGGCCCAAGCGCCTCATCCACGACACGCATCATCGCAAGCACCTTTTCGTCCTCCCACTTCCTCCCGACAATTTGAACGCCCACAGGTAGCCCCGCCATACGCGCAGGGTTATACACCGCCTCCTTCTCAAAGTACATCGCCGTCTCGAGAATCTTGCTGTTCCCGTTCTGCCCCGCCTTGAACCCCGGCGGCAGGTCGTCGACGCCGGGCTTGACGCGCGTAACTGGCACAACACCAACCGCGGACTCGACGACGTTATACGTGACGGTCGCAGTTGCGAGCGGCGCAAGGTAAGCACACGAGCCGTGCGGGATTGCAGGGAGGGCCTGGACCGGACAGATGATGCCATCGAGCTGGAGGCCGTTCCAGATCTGCTCGTAGAACGCGCGGTTGACTTTGTTGCGCGCGTCGGTGAATTCGACGAACTCCCTTACGCTCTTGCCGCGCGCCTCGTGCAGGATTTCAGCGAAGACCTTGTCGCCCATTATGTACTGCGCTGCCCACTCCATGAGCCTGCGAACGAAGCCTGGTGCCGAGCGTAGTGTCAACATAAGAACGTTACATGCTAAACATGGCATAATATTACCTGGTAACTTGGGCCCAAGCGTGGCGATGAATAGACTGCTCTCCTGAAAGTGCCGTCAGAAGGCTTCGGTTTGTTAGATAAGGACGACTAACCTGCGGGTCTCCGTGAAGATGAGATAGCATCTTCTCATAGCTATCAGACGTCGCCAGCCCAGCAAAGACTCGCAATATCTCGAGAGCTAGACATATTAGACGCACGCATCACTGAAGCTGGCATTACATACCTAGAGGCTTCACATCAAACTCAATACATTCATGACCTTCTCTCTGAAGGGCATCCACGGTCTCTTGAACCGCGCGCTGGCATGCGGGAGAAGATGTAGCAAGTCCATCTTGTTCGAATACCTTAGTTGACCATACTCAAGCCATGATGACTTGGCGCACCCACCAGTCTTGTAGTATCCAAAACGTAGTATCTTGGGCAGCTCGACGTCACGATATGGTACGGGTGGCACGTCAGGCACAATGCTCTGCTTGCCCAAGAACATCCTGCAAAACAAGTCACAGTCGGCGATTGATCTGCACTATTATCAACTACATAATTCTATGCCAAGTCATTATAGCTCGACGTACCGTGCCATGGGCCCGTAGCAGACCTTGACAGCCTCGTATCCAGGCTGACAACCTTCGTTTGATTGAGTGGCTCGCTTTGGGACTTGTGATAATTATGACACACCTCTAGTGCCATCGCCGCTCACGCGGTCAGGCGTCGGCTTTAGCGAATAAAGTCCACAGTAGGATGTGGGTATACGCAAGCTCCCTCCGATGTCTGATCCTACACCAAGGGCAGACCCGTCCATAGCCAACAGGGCAGCCTCTGAGCGACGCGTAGATGTTAGCTTGAGACCAAGGAAGAGGTAGCATAAACAAACCTCCGCCTGAACTGCCACCGCAAGTGTGCTTGTCGCTCCACGGATTCGTCGTACGACCGAACACCGGGTTGCAACATTCGTATGCGAACATGGTCTGCGGTACATTGGTCTTGGCAATGATGATTGCCCCGGCTTTGCGACACTGGTCGACAAGCTAGAGGGTTTGGGGTTAATGTTAGCTACAAGGGAGAAAAGGGGGTGCAAGGGACATACGAAGGCATTCTTCTTTGAACGGTCACCTATCCAGGCCGAGAATCCAGTAACAGAGTCAAAGCCCTCGATGTCAACTGCAAACCAGTGTGAGGAGTATCCAGGAAGAAAGCTGAGTGGCGTACACTGGTCTTTGAAACTGACAGGAACGCCATGCAGCGGGCCGCGGGTCTGTTTCGTCCTTGCGAACTCATCGTCCAGCTCCTCTGCTTGCCTTCTCGCGTCCGCAAACAAGACTACATGATAGGTTAGTGTCAATGTAGTGATGTGGGGAATGAGGTCACGCCGGGGCCACGTACCCTCTGTAAGACAGTTGGTCTTTGCCTGCGCAAGTGCAGCACGCGCAATGAATGCCTCCACGACTTCCGTTGCTGTCCATTCGCCTTTCGAGATATGATCCGCTATCTCACTGGCTGGGGAACGCTGAGTGATAGGTGGTGAATGCAGTATCACTACGACGCACCTGTTGCCCCCAAATACACTGCATGCTTCTCGGAAACCTTCCCAGCGACCGATAGAGCCTGGCCGCGTGCTGCGAGTTTCACAGCGATATTCTCGGTTCGCTTGTTTCTGAACATCTCCAGAGTCACAGTTGGATTGGTTGGCGAGGGCGTGGATTCTCAAGAGGGTTTAAGAGGGTTTGAACCCGGGTGAAGTATGTTCGAGGACTCTATTTGAACGTATTGGCAAGAAGTTGGCGCCCTGGCAGCTGTGCATACACGCAGCGGCGCGGGAACAAACCCGAGGCCGAAGCCGACGTCGTCACCGGCGTGCAGGACGCGAGACGCGCTTTTCACATGCAAGTTGAAGCACGCAACTGTATCTCCGAGTCGTCGCCGGCGGTGACGCGCAGATGCTCTCACGTCTCTTCCCTTCGAGTTTGCTTTGTGGCAAAAGCTCTGTCGTTAACCACCATTCAGAGGAAGACGATTCGGATGGGCCCGTCATAACGCCTCGGCAGGCTCGAAAGAGCACAAGATGTATCTTCTGCAATGTTTCCCGAGACAATGGTTTTGATGTCGTATATGAGGTGTGCGCTACTGTTAGCTAAGAGCCGCCCAAGGCCAACATCGTGTAGACTCAGTCAATCATCTGTAGGATGCAGAGTTCATAGCGTTCCGTGACTACAACCCTTCTTCGTTGCATCATCTTCAAGTCATCCCGAGAGATCACATAGGTGAGCACTTTCTTCTACTTCAACACCGCTTTCTCTCCCGGCCTGTTATGCTGACAGGCAACTTTAGATAGTGTCAAGTCGCTCTCCAGGTCGGACATCGAGAGAGGTGCGGGGTTCTCATGCTGCCACGTCAAACGGCGGAATTTGCGGACCTTCTGATCATTTCCGCAGTGCGGAGGATGGCGAAGGTCGGAAACTCGATTCTGGACGAATGGAACGTCCCAGCGTTGGACCGCAGGTACGGTCCTTTGCACATGACTAGCTGGAAGACTTGGTTCATCTTACCCCTTCACTCACACCCATAGATTAGGCTTTCACATCCCTCCGTTCAACACCGTAAACCACCTTCACCTCCACGTCCAGGCGCTTCCGTACAAGTCACGTTTGCGTCAAATGAAGTACCCCATCTCGCGTCGCTCGGACCCGTACGTCAAGGGTTTCTCATGGTTTGTCGAGGTCCGGCAGGCCATACAGCTGCTTGAACGGGGCAAGAAGATCACAGTGTCCTCATGTTGACGGACAATGCTGAAACAGAGAAACAGAGCTGCATCGACATGTGGTGTGGGTTTACGCTATCGGTATGTGACCGTCTCTAAGTACGTCTCCAAACTAACAGAAACATGCCCAGCTTTGGCTGCCTTCGCCCTACTGTAACTGGGAGAATACACGTCGCTCCGTCACGAGCAGGGCTAACGTGTGGTCTTTTTTGTGATATACACCCACCGCCCGTACAACTCTTCCGAGCCATATGGTCTTAATGTGAATCAGATCGTTGGCGTGAATACGGATGGGGCTTTTATCCTCGAAACATGCTACACATGATAAGCGAGTCAACGGCGTTGTCAGGCGCATCAAGGCGTCAAGCTGTCATACTTAATTACGCTGAGCGCTGAGCATCATCTTTGTATAAAGGTCAGCACGAATTTGGGTTCTGAGACCTAATTTACCCCCCTTCTCGGTGCTCCGAAGACTCTACAGTCGACTCTCTAATAACCCATGGTTCTATAAACCCATACTCTCCAATAACCCATGGGTTTTGGCATCTCCCGAGTTGGTCCCCACCAAAATCGGGTCCAAAACCCATATTTTTCCGATACCCCATACCCCATGGAGTTTGACGAGCAAAACCCATACTTTTCGGAGCCTATAGTATAGATTTGTAAGCCAAATGGCCTGTCCGATGTTACACCGTCGCTCTCTATTCGTGAAAATTTACCACCGATTTCTACATACCCATGAACAACGACTTAGAATCTCTCAAGAAAGGGCTCGAGGCCCTCAGGAAGGATGTCTCACAACGCAAGACCGACCTGAGCGCACGACTTTCCCGCGATCAACCCATCTCCACAGAAGATGAAGATTGGCTTGACGGTCCTGCCAACCTCGTTGATGAAGAGAGGCTTGTCGACAGCCTTGCCAATGCACCTGACTACGGCCAAGCACTGAGGAACCTGGATGAAGATGGTCAGCAACTGGTCCGGAAGCTGCAGGGTGCGGCAGTGGATGCTGGCAAGATAGCGCAGAGGAAGAAGAAGAAGAAGGCAAAACCCTCACCGAAGAAGACCGAGGTCCCCACAGTCCCCAAGAAGCGTGGCCCCATTCCGCAGTGGAACACTGGCAAGCGGCAGAGGGCCACTCTCGCCATCCGGATTGAGGTCCTGAACCACATGAGGGATACGAAGATGAAGCAGAAACCAACTGCCGACTACTTCAACACCATCTACCCCGACATCCGGTTTGGACAGCCCCTCATTTCCGACTGGCGCAAGGATGAGGATAAGTGGCGGTCCGAATGGGATGAGAGCACTGCAGCTGACCGCAATGCCAAACGAGTACGGCAGACAGAGTATCCGGAGGTGACTGAGCTGCTGGATGAATGGGTGACAAACGCTATGGTAAACAATATCCAGATCACCGGGGAGGTCATTCGGCAGAAATGGCGCTTCTTCGCCGTGCGCTGCAACATCCCGGCAGATGCACTCAAGTTGAGCGAGGGCTGGCTGACGAAATACAAGGAACGGATGGGATTGAAGGAGTATAAACGGCACGGGGAGGCAGCATCAGCTAACCCTGCCACTGTCGACGTCGAGAGGAGACGCCTCCAAGGCCTTATCGAACTGCTGGGATACCCGCCAAGTAACATCTACAACATGGACGAGACGGGTCTCTTCTATGCGTACGTGACAAGTAGCCTCATGAAATCTCATATTGACGCTTTCGTCGGATAGGATGCCTCCCGACCGTGGCTTATCGAACAAGGAGACGAAGGGCATCAAGACTCAAAAACTACGACTCACATATGCCCTCTGTGCAAATGCAACTGGTACTGACAAGCTCAGGCCCCTCGTCATCGGGAAGTTTCGCCAGCCCCGTGCGTTCAATAAGAAACCAGCAGCAGCTCATGGCTTTGACTACCGGAATAACCTGAATGCGTGGATGACAACACCTCTGTATCAAGATTGGATCAGCAACTGGGACAGCGAGCTGCGACGGAATGACAGACATATCCTGCTCCTGCAGGACAACTTCTCTGGGCATGTCGTTCCAGACGGGCTCACGAACATCCGCGTCGAGAACTTCGCACCGAACTTGACAGCGCATGTGCAGCCCAATGACCAGGGCATCATCCGATGCTTCAAGGCACATTATCGGGCTGCCTACATCGAGCGCGCCATCAACCGCTATGATGAGGGCGTCACCCCGAGCGAGATCTATCAGATCAACCAGCTGCAAGCAATGCGGCTGGCTGATACAGCATGGCGGCAGGTCGATACAACCACGATTCGAAACTGCTGGAGGAAAGCTGGGATCTTACCTAGCACCGACAACCCCACCCCTCCCCAGCCCTCACTTCCGATCTCATCCCTTATCAACGACACTCCGGCCAACCCTCAATGTCTTGCCGACAGCGCAGTTGAGGCTGCTCTTGACTCTCTTCAGGCAACGGGGGTACTGCAGAAGTCGAACCGGATGGACCTCGAGACAATCTTGAATCCGGTAGAGGAGCATGGGGCCGCGGCAAATATGACGGATGAGGAGATTTACGAGGCTGTGATGAAGAGGAGGGCAGGAGGAGACGAGGAAAGCGAGGGAGACGAGGGAGACGAGGGAGACGGCGATGGAGTGGAGCCTCCTCCCACGCGGAAGCAGGTCCTGGGAGCGGCGTCCGTAATTGGACGCTGCCTTGATGAGATGGATGACCCGCTCGCGCGAAAATTGGAGGTTTTGCTTGCCTCCTTTACTCGCCAACTCAGGATAGACGCGTCAAAACAGCTAGAGCCATCGAAGATTACTGATTACTTTACTTTAACACCATCCGACTAGAGCATTGACTGCAGTAATACACAATAGAATTTTTTTTTTTCGTTTTTGCTAGATTTATGGCCCCTTTTTTCGGTATTTCCTATTATCCCATACTCTCTAATAACCCATGCGTTTGGGCTTCTCCCGACGTGTATGGGTTATTAGAGAGTCGACTGTAGTCATGTTTGATAATCCACGCAAGGCGACTATCGTCGCCAAACGTGCGACTCGCAACGAGGCTCTATCAATCGCAGGCAAAGTCAAAAACGACCAGGAGCTCTACACCCGGGCCACGGGTGCGCCTTGCAGATAACTAACTGCGAGGTTTCTCTACTAAGGCCACTACGTTAATATTTTCTAGCCATCGACATCGTCGAATATATAGCAAAGGGAGAGTGGACCGCTACGGAGGTAGTGAAGGCATATATCGCGCGTGCTGCCCTAGCACAGGGAAAAACCAACTGTCTAACAGAAGGTACGCCTTATAGTGTCATTCATGGTCGGTGCTGATACAGAGACAGTACTCTTCGATGACGCAATACGTCAGGCGAAAACACTAGACGAGGAGTTCACCAGGACAAAGAGGATTAGGGGCCCACTGCATGGCGTACCTGTTAGCTTCAAGGATCATTGTGGGCACACCTCTCCTCTCCGCCATGTAACATTCTCACTCTCGCCCATAGACGATATAGAAGGCTACGATTCCGTGACCGGATTCTCAGCATGGATCAATGACCCCGCGAAAAAGGATGCATTTGTGCGTTCCTTCGAGCACTTCCGATACAAATCCCTATCACTGACGAGCCCCGCGACACGACCAGCTCGTCTCCCAACTCCGGAAAGCTGGAGCCATTATCATTGCGAAGACGAACCTGCCGCAAATGATGTTTTCTTCCGAAAGCGTGAATCCTGTGTTCGGCCGGACGACCAACCCATGGAGCAGCAAGCATGCAAGTGGTGGAAGCTCTGGCGGAGGTATGCATGCTCTCTTTCTGACGGAAAACCGAAAAGTTGACGCATGTGTCGTCGCATATATGACTTCTTCTGTGCATCACAGAAGCTGCGCTGCTTGCTATGGATGGCTCCGCTCTTGGGGTTGGCTCAGACATCGGTGGAAGCCTGCGTGTACCAGCTTCTTGGTGTGGGGTTTATTCGCTCAAGCCGACGGCTGAGCGCATCTGCGGTCATGGTGCTCGAGGTGATTATGGTCTCTTCCCCAGTGAATTACATGTGCTGATGGATATATAGATATTGAGCCGGGATTTGAGGCCATCAAGTTCTGCTACGGACCAATGGCGCGGTACGTCTCGGTAGATTGGCATCATGCGAGTGGTAAATCTGATTATAGCTTTCAGATCTGTCGCAGACTGCGATCTGTTCTGCAGGCTGTTTCTCGGTAAGCAGGATGATGTGCCCCAGACCGCGCCACAGCCGTATAGCGAAGTCGAATTACCTAAGAGGTTGCGTTTTGGCTTCTACGCCAGTGGTGAGTCGCAGGCTACTTATGGCGTATCCTTCACGTTGACTCTTTGCTGGAGATGGCCTTGTGACATCATCCCCTGCTTGCCAACGAGCTGTCCGGGAACCCGTGGAGGCTCTTCGGCAGCAGGGACATGAGTGCATTGAGTTCGACCCGAAGCCCCTAGGTGAACTTATCAATGGTACGACTCGTCTTCGATCTGACTCGCGATCAGCTCTCGAAGCATGTCGTGTTTTTATTGCATTGCTATCGGCTGGTGGTCACAAAACAATGCTATCTCATCTTCAAGGAGATCCAGAGGTTGGATCATGATTTATGGACTGGATACAGCTGATGATTCCCTTCAGGAGACGATGATGTTTGGTTATACTATCGGGCCAAAGCTGCCAGGTGAGCGCACAAAATCCAGATTGCGCAAATAGTCACAGTCTCACGCTGCTGTTGTTTTCGTTCGTAGGTTTCATCCGTGTAATGGGCAAATGGATTGCCCAATACGTTATCGGAGACGACGTCCTCGCCCAAATAATTGATACGTCTCGCGGAAAAAGCGTCAAAGAATTCGTTGAGTTCACCAACGCTAGGAACCAAGTCTCCCGCGCGTTCTACGAGCAGGTATGGAACGCTCTACAGCTCGACGGGATTATATGCCCCGTACAGTCTCTGCCGGCCATCACTCACGGATCTTGCGCGTACCTGACGCCACTCTTCTGCGCTACATTGCTGTACAACGTTGTAGACTCGCCTGTTGGCGTCGTGCCCGTCACCCGTGTAACACCCGGTGCGGACGATCTCCCCGCAGATTTCAAAGCTGGTCGCAATGGGACCAGCTGGACCCTTGAGATGGCGATGTACCACAGGAAGTATGGCGTATATAACTCAGAACGGATGGCCGGTCTTCCAGTCGGTGTGCAGATCGTGGGGAAGAAATGGGAGGATGAGAAGGTGCTGGGGATGATGCGAGTCGTGGACGAGGCACTTGGCCCGAGGGGCTTTGGACCAGGAATGTGGAAGGATGAATAGAGGTATGTCTCGTTTTTCTGACACTTATGGTGTTTCCGGTACTGACTTGATCGCAAAAAATGGAGCCAGCACAATATCCTACCACAGCCACCGTCTGCTTCAGCAATATACCCCTGACGTAAATTGCAACATTCGAATTTATCTCCTTTCTCCGTCTTAGCGGGCTCCATAATGTTCTCGAAACATATCCTTCCGAGCGTTCAGACCGGGATGGCCGAGTGCGCACCCTCATAAGGACAAGTGATTGTAATCAACATGATGTATGAAGCGATTATATGCATGTATACCTCGCTTTTCGAAGAGAACAAGCTAATGGCTGTGATGGTCAGAGCTGGTTGGGTCTATAATTTGACGGAGAATACTCGACTGCATTGATGTGCTCCAGCGTATGTCGTCGGTTTCCTCTCATCTCCACATAGCACATATTACAGGCCGACTGTTCGATTATGGCATCCCGTTCGAACAATCAGTAACTCACTTCTCGTTAAAGCGTTGGCATCAAAGCGTTGACATTAGTCTGCTGCAGACGCAAGTGTTTCATGGCCTCGACTAAATGAGATACGTATATTGCTCTTTGGCTCCGATGTCCCTCCGTCGTCATACGACGAGCTAAGGGGAGAAGTTGGAGAGGAAGACGATAGAAGAGTGGCACAAACAAGCAAGCTTCAAGTGAGCTCAGGTCGTGATGGATCGCAACCTAATATGTCGAGTTTGGTGGGAGTAAATAGGGGTAAATACGATTCTTTTCGGCATACTGTTTATTATTATTTTTAGAAATGTTTTTATTGTAAGAGAATAGTAAGCTATCGGTAGCTTCACGGACAGTAAATAAAGATAGAAAATAAGACAGATGTATTACTATGTCATGTGTATGAAAGGGAAATGAAGCAGCAAAATTGCACTCTCAAGATGTTCCCTTTATCTCCAGACTTAGGTGCTACAGATCATGTTCGGACGGGACTGAGATTACGAATGCACGGCTTGAAACTTCGAGGTTGCACTATCTTGTGTGATGCTACCGCGTAAGCAAAACTCCAGGCTCATACAGGCCATGCGAGCGATAAGTGAGATCAGCTCATAAAGTATGGAAATGAAAACATGAAACCAAGTAAACATATCACTAATGTGACAAAGTGCAATCGGATAGAGCGCGGTAGAGCAGTCAACGATTATTGCTACAAATGTTCGGACTCGGCCTTTTCCTCGGTAACCGACGTATGTTCATTCTTCGCTAACAAGCGCTTGAGCCCCTCGAGCTGCGTCGCCCAGACGCTCCTCGCGAGCTTGATTAGCCGATCCGCGAATACGTCAACCAAGTCCTCCGACTTAATAATGAAATTGAGATCTTCACTCGTCATCCACCTTCCCGTCCCTTCGGTTCCTCCATATGTAAGCTCAACCCACAGACTCCTAAGTTCACCGACTATCTCGCCAAGCCTGCTACCTTCGGCACCGCGGCCCACACCCTTGGCAACAGCGTAGAATGTGCCTCGGTTTGCGTGCATGCGCGCTGGCTTATGCAAGACGAGACGCGTGGAGAGCGTGGAGAGCAGGTATAGGATCTTGGCTGGGATATCACGCTGGGGATTAGACAGCTTCATGACAATTGTGCCGCCGTCTCGCGCGGCACTGAGACCCAAGATCAGCTGTGAAACGACGATGCGATAATAGTCCCAGTTTACGTAGTCAACTTGTTTCCTAAGGTGATGACAGTCAAGGAGTACCAGCGAATATCGAACTCCATCGTCGTCTCCCAAGCATTGCAGGGGGATCGGGAGGTCCTGGAGGCGTCGATCATCCGCAATCGGAGAAGGACCGAGCTGGTAGAAGGTGACGTTTGCGTAGATGAGCTGAAAGCGTTTCATGTAATTTTCCCGGATACCACTGAGGTGTCCACCATTTTCGGGGGGAAGAGATACGCCAACGCCTCTAGCCCGATAATTATTCTTGAGCACGTAGGTCGTAAACGCCCCCGGACAACATCTGCGATATCAGTCAATGGATGGAGATCATAATGCCGGTAAGTGCATAGCTATACAGTGTTAAGAGAGGCGTACCCGAGGTCCAAGAAGGATAGCGGCTTCGTTATGGGGACACATGAAGTGGCCTGATCAATCTCCTGGAGGACACCCATCATCCCTCCGAAAAAGACCTTTTCTTGTCCGTCCTGATCCGCAAACGCTCGCTGATCGCGAAAATGGGTATCAAGTTTGGGGTTTCTCCATCCCTGGCGACGTCATGGTAAGTTCATGCTCAGCACGAGGACGTTTCACAGCTCGATCTGTGCCTTGAACATGGATGGAGCAGTACGCACATACCTGGAGCTTCAAGTTCATGAGATCTATGAACTCGCTAGTTCCACGGTTCTCGATGGCGATCTCGAGCGGAAAACGATGACGCTCGCCCTCAGGACCTATCTCGCGGAGAGGGGAAGCAGAAGGGGAGGAAGCCATGACTGGGCGACCAGGATTACGGGCGATCAGACCATTTTATGCATTGGCGATAACGGAAGGCGAGTCACCTCATGTTACTCAGAGAGCAAGGCGACGATCTCTGTGGCGAGACGCCCAGTTCCTTGAATTGAATCCACCTCGTGGTCATCACTGCAAGAATAAAGTTGGGTTTGCTTCTGAAATGGTTTCGTCTGGGGTGTGCGCCTGCACATGAAGTAAAGGGGTGGTAATCGCCTGAGATGCGCATCGCAAGGTTCACGCATCGGTCGGTACCCATGATAAGGACCGGTTAGGTTCTCGAATCAAGCTATTTCGGCGTTGATGGTCGTCGAGAGCGCGGGGTCCAATGCTAGATCGAGGACACGCACGCGGCAAGAGAAGGTTCACAGTCCCCTCGTCGCTGTGAACACCGGTTCGGACCTGAAGGCCTGACCGTCTATAATAGCTCCATGGCGTGTTCGCTCTCGCACTTGCGTGGGCCGGTACACATCAGTGTCAAAGGACTAATAGGATAAGACTAGGATAAGGATGGGAAGGAGCAGACCTTTGACACGCCTTCTGCCCAACCAAGATCGTTAGCCCCACGCCCGCAGAAGACTCTCCCATCGGAGGCTTGTTTCAAGCCGTCGATGGCCGGAGATAGAGTCTGGCTTAGCTCAAATTAGTTCGCGCTCCGGCGCCTAGCGCACGTCCGCCTTGTGGTTCCTGGTGCGTCTGGTGTGCTTTCGAGGCACTTTCGGCACTCCCGACTACCGCTAACTGTTTTCACGTTAGACGTGTAATTTCATACATTGGGTGTAGGCAAATGGGTTGAGCGGCGAACCGTTGAGGCGGAATATACGTCAGCTGCCGGATAGACCGCACGGTGGTGGAGTTCGCACGGTTCTCACTCATAAAACGAGCGTTGAGATCGACTTATCGACGTTTGTTTCCACCTCCCCCGCCATCTCGCGTATATCCTCCCACTGCCATCCATAATGTCTGGCGCCGCTAGCCCCTTCCCCATCGACCTCAAGCAGTACAAAAAGTGAGCGATTTGTTGGTGTCTGCGTGTGGGCGTTGCTGATCAGCAAGCGATCAGGCTCAAGCTCGATCCCTCGAAGCCCCAGCTCACATCGGAGGAGAAGGCTACCCTCCAGCATAACATCCAGCTTCTCCGTGATGCGATAGTCCTCTTCACCGCGACTGGCGCCGCCCGTGGTGTCAGTGGCCACACTGGTGCGTACATGCTTGACTGCATGCATCCTCTCGTGGCTTACATCATTTCACGATCTTGCGTATATGCGTCTCTGCATGAACAGGTGGGGCCTTCGACACCGTCCCCGAAGTGTGCATTCTCCTCAGCTTGTTCGAGCACTCGGAGAAGTACCTTCCCATCATCTTTGACGAAGCCGGTACGTAATACATTTCGTTGCGCGTCAATCTCTTTATCTTTTTGCCCCTATTACGCATTGTATGATTGATGAAATGCCTCCGGACAGGCCACCGCGTCGCTACCCAGTACCTCCTCTCCGCCCTCGATGGCTCCCTCCCCGCTGAGCACCTCCTGAACTACCGCGCCGCCAACTCGAAGCTCCCGGGTCACCCTGAGCTCGGTCTCACCCCCGGTGTTAAGTTCTCGTCGGGCCGCCTCGGCCACATGTGGCCCCTCGTCAACGGTATCGCGCTCGCGAACCGGGATAAGACCGTGTTCTGCCTGGGCTCCGATGGCTCGCAGCAGGAGGGTAACGATGCCGAGGCTGCTCGTCTCGCCGTCGCTCAGAACATCAACATCAAGCTCCTCATTGACGACAATGACGTCACCATCGCCGGTCATCCGTCTGAGTACATGAAGGGATACGACCTCACCAAGACGCTCGAGGGTCACGGTCTCAAGGTGTACACAGTCCAGGGCGAGGACCTCGACGCACTCTGGGGCGCCATTGCGTCTGTCACGACCCACAATGGCCCCGCTGCAGGTATGACATCTGGACGTCCTTTCGTCGAGTTTCCAGGCGTCTCATGGTTCTCTCTCTAGTCATCGCTAAGCGCAAGATGGCACCCGGTGTCGACGACATCGAAGGCAGCACTCACGGTCACGATGTCATTCCCGTCAAGTCTGCCATCAAATATCTCACCAAGCGCGGCTACCCCGAGTCGGTCGCCTCGGACATCCTCCTCAACATTAAGCCCTCCCCCGTCCCTTATCTCTACATCGGCTCGACCAAAGAGACCGCCGCGAACCGTGTTCAGTTTGGTGAGGCCGTCAACCTCGTGCTTGACGGCCTCAGCAAGGAGGAGGCTGCTAAGAAGGTCATGGTCATCGACAGTGAGCGTTCTCCTTTGGTGTAAAATGGCATACCGAACTGAATGGCCTTTGCTAGGTGATCTCGAGGGCTCGACCGGTCTCAAGGTCATCCACCAGAAGCACCCCGAGGTCTTCATTCCCTCTGGTATCATGGAGCGTGGCAATTTCTCGGCTGCCGCTGGTTTCGGCTTCCAGGAGGGCAAGTTCGGTGTCTTCTCGACGTTCTCGGCTTTCTTGGAGATGGTTATCTCTGAGATTACCATGGCCCGTCTGAACAACTGCAACGTTCTTTCTCACTTCTCCCACTCTGGCGGTGAGCATCAACATTCTTTCATGTCTTTACTTTGTGCTGATTGATCCTCAGTTGATGAGGTATGTTCATAAAGAGCAGCGCAGTGAACAGGTACTTGACCCTTGTGCACCCGACAGATGGCCGACAACACTTGCCACTTCGGTATTAACTCCTTCTTCGGCGACAATGGTCTCTCAGATGTGCAGTCGTGGCTGTACTTCCCCGCCGATGCGGCTCAGATGACCGCCGTTATCCAGCGCGTCTTCTTCGAGCGCGGCGTGCGGTTTGTCTTCTCGACGCGTGCCAAGGTTCCCTATATCCTCAAGGAGGATGGCAAGACCAGGTACTTCGGCGATGACTACGAGTTCCAGCCGGGCAAGGACGAAGTCATCGCCGAGGGCACGGCCGGATACGTTGTCTCGTTCGGAGAGATGCTCTACCGCTCGTGGGATGCTGTTCTCCGCTGCCGCCAGGAGGGCCTCGACGTTGGCTTGATTAACAAGCCGACGTTGAACGTTGTCGATGAGCGGGTGCGTTCTTGCCCCGTTTGCCTCGATTGAGGGCACATGGATGCTGATGATGATGGATTCTTGCTGTAGGCAATCCGCAAGGTCGGCTCGAGCCCCTTTGTGCTCGTCGTCGAGTCGTTCAACCAGAAGACCGGTCTTGGGTCCAAGTTCGGCACCTGGTTGCTCGAACGCCAGCTCACGCCCAAGTACGGCTACATTGGCACAACCAAGGAGGGTAAGTTGATGCGTGCTTCCGTCTGGCAAAGGACGTTTTTGCTCATCGTGACGCTTTTTTTGCGATAGGCTGTGGTGGTCTCTCGGAGCAGATTCCTCACCAGAACCTCGACCCTCAGGCCATCATCTTGAAGATCAAGCAGCTCTCGCAGTAGATGCAGGAGCCGGTCGGAAGTATGATGGTGCATTGAGAGGAGGGTTAAGAGTCAGAGGAAGGGAAAAGGCGTGTACGCTTAATGTTGGTAGTCGACTTAGAGTTTTTCGAGCAGATCAAGCTATGCATTGTTTGTATAATACAACAAAATTGTAGAAGCACGTTTTTCATGATATGATGTGTCACGATACAAGGTTGAAGTGAGAGTGAGAAACCTACGATAGACCTATCCTTTGCTCTCAGAGTAACACCAGCCCGATCATCCGTGTGTGCAAAATTTGTAGAAACGAGTGAAGTCATCAGTGCGACCATGTGAGTGAACTGAGGGAAATGGTCAGTAAGAGGCGTCAATAGGGTTTGGAAGAAGATGGTGGATGGAAGGATGGGATCAAGGCGGAGTCAGAGAACCGAGTATCGACACGAGCAACACCCTCCGAGGAGGGCAGCATTCGGACGGCACTTCCTATTGTGTTCGGTCGGGTTCATCAAGGTAGAGGTGGACGAAAGAGGCGAGTAGAAGAGCGGGAGAGGAAGATACTCACCAGAAACAACGTTGAGGAGGGCAAGGACGCCGACGCTGCCCTCGATGAAGCTCGTCGAAAACGATGTGATGACAGGGAACGTCGTGAGAGCTGCTGCACAGTTCATGATTTTGGGCTCCGCTCGAAATAATTGCGAGTTTCACAATTTGCGTGGGTTTGTGTAAATTTGGAACGTTCTCACGATTTTGCTGGGCAAAGGGGGTTGGATAACTTAAACCATTACGCAAATTGCGCTTGCCACTCCTCGAGCCTCAGACGAACGACTCCTGCGACTGCTTTTTTGCTTTTCTCCACGACATCTTGCTTTCGCTCTTGCCTCGAAAAGAGAGGAAAAACTAGGATATAGGTGAGCTTTTGTTTTGGTCGGCTGCTGCTGCGGAGTGGGAAGGGAGGGATAGCTGGCTTTTTGTGATGACGGGGAGTTATCCTGAGCTTATTCCTTTTGCATTTGCTATGCTTTTGGCTGGCTAAATTGTCGGCACATATGAGCCTATACGCTTATCATTTGGGCATATATGTTTTCCTCCCTTCCGTTCTTTGCTTCCTCATCCCCCTCTCCGCTCAGTGGATGCACGCTTATGGGCGTCTCTGTCCATGCTCTCTCCCCTGAATTTCGCCACTGGACGATTGCGTGACGTATGCTGACGATGGTGACTTGACGCGGGCGCCGTCTCGTCTCAATTTATCTAGATTAATCCGCGACACACAACCGCAAACGCCAGCGCCCCAACAGCCACGACCCCAATCTCCTAAACTCAAATTATACGGTCACGCACAGTGCACACGGTCATGGACAACGGACTCCAAGCAAATACAGTCAGCGCGCGTACGTGCCTTTTCCTCCTCGCACATCCCAAGCTCATCGCATCGCTGACGCATCGTCTTGAATGTCTTTCCCTGATCTTATCCTGCCTCGCGCCCCTCTCTTGCGCGTCTATACGTGGTGCGCGGAAAACGAACCAGGCGACCCCAGCTCGAGCGCTGCCCCTGCGCCACCCGTGAAGCGCAGGCCTGGCAGACCCAAGGGCAGCGGCAAAAAGCATCTCAGCACCCCGAATGCCCTTGAGAAGATTAAGCGCCCTGTCGGACGCCCGAGGAAGGACGGGTTGCCTGCGGGCTCGGTGGGCCCGAGGAGGTCGACGACGAGGAAGGCTGCTGTGGAGAAGGGTGGCGCACCGTCAGCTAGTGCGGGTCCGGCGGGGATGTCGTTTGCTGGGGTGAGTTTTTGGTGGCTTATATCTTGAGCGCTCATTTGCTGAGCATTATCAACCTTGCTTTGTGTGCGATCGATAGGCATTCTATCCGCAGCACCCAGGTATCGCTGGTGGATGGCAGGGCTTCACGCCACTCGGCGCGAGCGCGTCTGCGTCTGCTCCTCCCGCTGGAATCAGCGCGTTCTCTGTGGTGCCACAGGTGGACCCTTCGCTGAACCGCGACGAGTGGGCGGTTCTGGCGCGCACGAAGCCCAACGTGTTCCTTCAGTCCCTCTGCGCCACGCTCGCAGCCCCTAACCCCCTGCCCACCGTCGGTCCTACCGTCGAAGACGCATTCAAGTCGCACCTTGCGTCCTTGAGCCCTCCCGCCGCGAAAGACGGCAACATGAACCCGAATGGCGCCCCACCCCTTCCGCCCCTCTACTCTGTCCTCAAGACGTTCTGGCTCCCTTCCTCTCCCGCTTATCTGTCGTTGATCACGCCTGGCCATACGGCGAAGCTCCTCTCGGAGCACCGCTTCCTGTACTGGGACCCGCTCCCGCTCGTGTTCAACGGCATCCCGTGCCCCGCGTGCAATGCGCCGCTCATTAACAAGGGCCGCATCCGCACGGGTCCACTCAAGGTATACGATCTCGAGCGCCCGTTTTTCATCATCGGGTGCGAGTATGCGTGCCGCAGCGCCGCGTGCGTCGCAGCGACGTCCTCGCCCGAGGGACGGCGCTTCGCGAGCGTGGACAAGAGCATTATGCAGGCGCTGCCGACGCGCCTCAAGGACGAGCTGCCGGCGCGGCTACTGCAGAATGACGGGGACATGGGCAGCGGGGTGGACGTGTGGGGGTGGCACGCGCTTGGTGTGAGCAAGCAGCTGTGGAATATGGTCAAGGGGTGTTTGAGGGCGGGGATGGGGCGGGATGCGATTTTGGGGGTGATTGCGAGCGTGCAGAATCCGTTGCCGGAGGAGAAGCAGGAGGAAGAAGAGGATGCGGAGGGGGAGAGTCTGGCTGCGAGTGGGAGCGGCGGTGGCGGTGGCGGTGTCGTTGGGAATGGGAATGGGGTTGAGGTGCACGGGAATGGGAATGGGAGCGGGGCTGCGGAGGGGCATGGGGCGAGCGAGGATGCGACGATGGATGCGGCGCCTGGTGCGGATGGAGGTGCCCAACCTCAAGTGCGTGCGTCCGATCTCCTTGCTGCGTACTTCGCTGCGTGATGGTTTGGTTGGCATGTGTTCTGATTCTGTTTGCGCTGTTCCCGTTTTCAATCTCAAACAAATCTCAAACAAACAAATTTATCAAATTTCATTCGTCCATTCAAGCAGTCGTATGAGGTGTCGTTTCACGATGCGTGGAGGGCGCACGGCGTCGATGCGTCCTCGGGTGACGATCCGGGGCCTTCTTCCAGTACTCCGCAGACGTCGCAGACTCTTTCGAACATTTCTCCTTCTCAGACTCAGAATCAAAGTAATAACCACAACCACAATCACAACAATCAGCATCAAAATCAAAATCCACACCAGTCGCTCTCCCCTCATCTCCCCACATCCGCGTCCACCCCTGTCCCTGGCCAAACTTCTACCCCTCAGCCCCACGACGGATCGTCTACCCCGGCCCCTGCGTCTGCGGGCGTCCCTGCTCCTGCCCAGTCGCCTCACCCCGCACCGGGAGGCATGCAGTATGCGTTTGGACAGCCTGGGAATGGCTTTGTCTTCTCGTACCCCGGTACACCTGTCCCTCCTCCTCCTCCGGGTCCTACCTATGCGTACTTTACATCGCCGCTGCAGCCGCATCATATGGCGTCGCCTCATCCATCCCAGCCCCAAAACCAGTCCCATTCGCAGCAGGGCACGGGTGCGGTGCCGTCGCCGACGCTTGGGGAGCAGCATGCGCATTCGCATCCGCACCAGCAGCAGCAGCAGCAGCAGCAGCAGGTTTCGGCTGTAACGCCGCTCAAAAGGCCGTTTGGGTTCGGACTTGATGCGCCGTCGTCCTCTTCGGCTTCGCCTGCTGGAGCGACGGCGATGACTGGTGTCGAGCATGCACACGTCATGTCTCCTCAACACGCGCACGCGCATCCACCGCCGTACCCGCCTCCGCGCTCTCTTCTTCACCCGGGCAACGCCGTCGGTGCTGGTGGTACAGGTGCTGGTGCTGGTGCTGGTGCTGGTGCAGGCGGGCCGACGACGGAAGTGGCGATTCTGGAGCCCGCGCAGAAAAGGCAACGGCACTGCTGCAAGTGCGGCTCGCAGGAGTGTAAAGGCAAGGGCGGGCGGACGTTTTGCTTGAACGCGTGCCAGGACTGCGGGAAGCGGGACTGTCGGGGGAGGAATAGTCGGAGGCCGGATAAGGTGTGTGCGGAGGCGTGGCTCTAGCGTGTAGGGTTGGTTTTCTTTTGGGTGTGGACGTGGGTGCGGGCGGAGGTGACGGGAGGGGAGTGGGGCAAAAATTGTGGTTTTTTGGTATATGGCGGTTTGTTAGTAGATGTGGTATGGGACATGGTTTCGGTATTGCTATTTCGCTTTGCGTTTGCGCTTGTGAGGGAGCTAAGTGATGGGAGTGATGATACCCTCCCTGCTCTGTCTCGCTTGTTCCGCTTGCATGGGGGCATATATCCAGACAAAACCTGCACATCGCCATCGTATCCAACAAACGGGGTTTCAACTGGCACAAGAAACTCTTCCTCCCTCGTCAGCGCTCGGAGGGCCCTGGTGTTGTCCCAGAAGCGCGCCAAGGAGTCTTGCTGGAGCTTCCGTCAAGATGCGAGGTCAAGATTGGCCGTAGTCCGAGTATCGGTCGGCCTTGGGGGCGTGGAGAAGCGGGTCCAAGGAATCTATTACCTAAGGCTGGGTAAGCGGTGCGCAACCACGACGCTACTCGTCCCCGTCGATGACGGTCGGGATGTAGTACGTGAGCACGCCTCCGGCGTCGGCGACCTCGCCGATGTAGACGTAGAGGATCGCGCAGTGGTTCTGGCATACGCCTGTTATGTCGCGTTAGCGGTGCACGCGAAATGAGATGGGATAGTAGGGGAGGTGGAGGAGAGGTGTATACGGACAGGCGATGGTGGTCGTGGAGACGACGTGGCTGTTGAGGAACTTGAGGAAGCTGCGGATGGAGACGTGTACGGAGAAGAGCTCGTCTGGGTCGTGTTCGTGGGCGGGGTCCTCGGCGTCTTGGGTGAGTTCATCGCGGGCTGTGGCACGAGAGTAAAGTTAGAGTGAGCATCGGTGCGATCAGAGAATGACAAGTCTCAGAACGTTAAGGAGGCAGAAGTGACGGGGGCAGAGGACACACCCATTGGCGGGTTCGCACACCCGGTCCACTGCGTCTCGAGCTTGACGGTGTCGGTGTCGATGGAGACCTGCAGCTTGCCGCTGTTGTTCGCCCGGATGGCGATGATGTCCGAGAGTGGGCGGATGCGCTCGACGATCGTGCGCAGTTTTTGGAGATTCGGGAGGAGGATATGGACCTGCCCATAGCACGCACGTCAACCACGGTGGTTCCACCCCAAGAAAGACAAGAAAAGAGGGGACGCACATCAGGCTCAGGACACAGCGGCTCCCTCAGCCGGTCGACGTCTGACGGCCTCATCACGTCCACCCGCACGTCGTGCGCGACGCGGATCTTGCGGCCCGTGCGCGATATGCCGAGCATCTCGAACGCGAGCACGGCCTGGTCGTGCTTCTTGGCGAGCTTCATCACGACCTCGTCCGAGTCGTACGTCGGCAGGACGGCTGCTGCGACGGAGCTCGTGGCGGCGGAGGTGGAGGAGGAGCGGAGGGCCTGGAGGAGGGCGTCGGTGGCGAGGATCATGGTGATCTGGTTGTTGGCGTTGGACTGGATGCGGTAGGAGGCGAAGATGGAGTCGACTTTGACTACGCTGCCGCCGTGTCATCATCGAGAATGGGTGAATATACACAGGGACGGGGAGGGATAGCGCGTTGAGTGGCAAGGGACGTACGACCAGACCTGGATGCCGCCCTCGTTGGCGTCGTCGTTGCAGATGATGTGCATCTCCGTCTCGGTGAACTTGATGATGCATTTCTTCTGGAGCTTCTCGACTGCTTGGATGGTGCCTGTCAGATACGCGAGATGGTCAGTTACGTGAAACAACGGGGTGAACGCTGTTTTTGGGTGGAGACTGACGGTAGAAGATGGGGACGTTCTCGATGTTGGCTCTGAAGCGCATTGCTGTCGAACGCGACTGCGCTGTTCAGAGGACTATTAACTATAATTATTGTTTCGTTCAAGTCGTCGTAGAGGAGGAGGAGGAGGATGGACGCGTCGTTGGCATCACGTGTGTCGGGAGTGGGACATGAGATGACGGCGTGTTCAGGGCTGGGCGTGTCGGTTAACTCTCTCTTCTCGGCCATTCACCCTACTCTACTCTAACCACCATGTCCCGCGAAATCATCAACATTCAAGTGAGCTTTCATTGTCTTCGCTCTAACCTGTTAGACACAACTCATCGCGACATCGATAGGCTGGCCAAGTACGTACCCAATCCACCATCGAGCACCCTGCCGCGAGGACTAACGTAAACGAACGCTCTACGTCAGGCCGGGAACCAAGTCGGCGAAAATTTCTGGGAGATGCTCCTAGCCGAGCACGGCCTCAACCGATCCGGAGTGCGTCTATCCACTCTCACCGTCCTATACAGCGCCGCTGACCAAAAGCCATCGACGACGCGTTCCCTCGGCGTCATTTATGTATAGGCCTACGAAGGAAATGATCCGTTGCAGATCGAGCGTGTCAGTCCTTGTTTACTCCCACCTTAATTACCTCCCCTCGGGACGTCATCCGCTCACCCGTAGATCCCACCCCGCACTCATACTCTAGGTTGGGACCTATTTCTCCGAGATCAGCTCATCGGGCCCGGCACGCTATGTCCCACGAAGTGTACAAGTCGACCTCGAGACTGGTGTTTGCGACAAGGTGAGCGTGCTCGTCTGAGACGGGGAAAGGGAATAGACTTGCTGATGCGGGAGGCGGTGGTGCCTATAGTTGCGCAGCGGGCCTTTGGGCAAGCTGTTCAGGCCGGATACGTTCTTCACTGCCGATCCGGGTGCTGGAAACAACTGGGCCAAAGGATGTACGTCCTTCCGTCACGCTCCTTGACTAGTTCTCTGACCCATTGCTCCTTCCCCGTCCTCCATCTCCCCAGATTACACCGAAGGCGCAGAGCTCATTGACGGTATCCTGGATATCGTTCGGAAACAAACCGAGGCTTGCGACTCTCTCCAAGGCTTCCAGCTCATCCACTCCCTTGGCGGTGGTACCGGTGCCGGTCTCGGGTCATTGATGCTGTCAAAGTTCCGGGAGGTTCGTAGCACACCTACAGATGTGCAACTCGCGCAGCTAACCATGTATCGCAGGAGTACCCCGACCGAATGCTCGCAACGTTCTCAATCCTCCCCGCACCCGGTGTACGTCCCCTCCTCATTTTTGTCCCGTTCAACCCTGACACGTACCCACCATCTCTAGGTATCAGAAACCGTTGTCGAGCCGTACAACTCCGTCCTCTCCCTGCACCAGCTCATCGACAACTGCGATCTCACAGTGACGATCGACAACGAGGCGCTGTACAACATCGCGACGCGCACGCTCAAGCTCAAGGGGCCGACGTATAGCGATCTGAACGTGCTTATTGCTAAGGTCATGTGTGGTGTTAGCACGAGCTTGCGCTTCCCTGGGCAGCTGAACGGGTGCGTTTGCGTTGGTTTCTTTGTGAGATGCTCTAGGGATTGGGCTCATGGTATGCGCCTAGTGACCTGCGGAAACTCGGGATGAACCTCATCCCCTTCCCTCGTGTGCGTTTCTTTTTCTTCTCCGTATCTTGCTGCCCCCCAGGATGGAAAGCTAACCGCGTCTCATCTTCAGCTCCACTTCCTCATGCCCAGCTACGCGCCCTTCTTTGACGAGAAAGCGAGCGCGTACCAGAAGAAATCCGTTCCCGAGCTGGTGGCGTCGTGAGTGCCCGACCTGATCCCTCGATCGCCTGAAAGTGGAGGAACCGGCCTGACGCGTTTTTGTTTCCGTTGTGTAGAATGTTCGACCGTACGAACTACCTGGTCGCTGCTGATCCTCGGTTCGGGTACGTCGCTTGCATGGCTACGAATGAGTCGCCGAATAGAGTGCTAACTTGATTGGTCGTGCGCGTGCTGTAGGCGGTACTTGACGGCCGCGACGATATTCCGGGGCAATGTTGGCTCGAGCGACGTACGCTTTCTCATGCTTTTCTTAATTTGCTTTGTCACTGATGCGACGGTCATTTCAGGCTGAGGTACGTCAACTATAAGTTTGGTCAGATGCGGCGTATGGTTAAGATATCGGTACGACGAACAGCAAGCGGTGTATCAGTTGCAAAAGAAGAACTCGGCCTTTTTCGTCGAGTACGTCCGCTGTCTGCATGCTTTACCTTTGGGCTTTGGCTGACGTCGGTACCAGGTGGATCCCGGACAACGTCTCCGTCTCGCTCTGCTCTGTCCCGCCCGTCGGTCAAACACAGGTACGACTCGCTTACCCTATAGCATGTATATCAAGGAATCCGATTTGCTGAACCGGAATCGGCAGGCCGGCGTGTGCTTGGCGAATTCGACGTCCATGCAGGAGATCTTCAAGCGGAACACGGACCAGTTCGCGGCGATGTTCAAGCGCCGTGCGTTCTTGCACTGGTACACGAACGAGGGGATGGACGAGATGGAGTTTACGGAGGCGTATAGTAATGCGCAGGATCTGATGTGCGTTCTTCCTTTTCCTCTCCCTTCCCTTCCCTTTCATTGCCTTGGCTTTGTCCTTGCTTCGCTCGTGATAACTAATGATTGGTATAGCACGGAGTACCAGCAATACCAGGAAGCGACGATGGACGACGAAGAGTTCGAGGACGAGTACGCGGCGGAGAGCGACGCCGAGGTGTCTGTCGCAGCGGAGAGCATCGTCGGCGGCGAGGAGGAGCACTATGAGCCCAGCGAGGCGTACGAGTCCAGTGAGGTCGAGTTCTAGCGATGAGCGTCTCGCAACCTCCGTGCTGTCAATGGGAGTAATACGCCCGCTTTACCGGTGATACCCCCGCTCCTCGACCCGGCTCACTCTTCTTCGCGTGTATCACACATTCTATCCAGCTCGGATTTACAGATCATTAGTTTTGTTTGCGGATATGATGACTGGATTATTACTTACTTTAGAGTTCGCATATCGGATTCCGAGTTGATATGATATCCCCGTAATCGCTAGTGACACTCGTTTGCTCACCTCTTTTTTCTTTTATCGTTTGCTGCTTTCGTTTATGCTCATAGGCTATCCTTTGATTGTTGAAACACAATTCCGGCCTTTGGACAGCTCGTGCACTAGGCGCATTTTTAGAGCGGGAGCCGCGGTTTGATTCAGATCAACATGAAGCCTTGAGTGTAGACTCACCAACGTATAGTATTCGTCGGAGAGACCTTTGTCCTGTACGTGTTAGACTTTATTTCATTTGCTGTACGCTCAATGTATCCACGCCGAAAGTCTCGATCCGGAGGTCAGTACTATTTATGCTCGATCTTTTATTCTCGTAGACAGTTGACGCTATCGAGCTGACTGCACTGAGCTATGCCGATCTGCATGGGATTACTAAATCTTTGCATTAGTTGAACACTTACTCAGCGTCGAGTCTTTATTTTTGGGTCGGGTGATTGGACAGTTATTTCAACGACTCTAAGTTTCCCAAGCGCCGAGTCCGTCGTGGGTTGACCTCCAGCCAACAGATTGCATCTTGCCAAGCTCAGACTTGGTGTAAGCACTTTTATGTGGCTGACTAATCCCCTGACATAGTCGGATGACGTAGGGCTGACGCCGGAAAACGATATAAAGCAGCAGAACTGGCAGGCAGCTGATAAGACGTCTGAGTCCTCACCTGTCGAAGGTGCTATCAGTCGAACGCTCTGTCGCCGAATCTAGACATGTCTGTTGTCAATGCGAAGAAAATGCCCTATGGTGAGGTTAACCTGATGTATTATTTTCTCATCCAAAGCTGATTCCCCGCCACCAGTACGCTTGGGCAACTCCGGTCTGAAGGTCTCCAAGATCATCTTGGGAACAATGCAGTACGGGCACGAGGGATGGGCCCCTTGGTCTCTCGGCGAAGAGGAAGGCATTGCACATATCAAAGCTGCGTGAGTAGTGGTCACAGTCGACGTCGAGACTTTGCTGAGCAATGCGCACGCCAGATACGATGTTGGGATACAGTCGTTTGATACTGCGAATGTTCGTGATATCCGCTTGATAAGGCGATGCAGTGTACTAACCCGCTATCGCTATCGCTATCAGGTGTACTCGAACGGCCTCTCCGAGATCATTCTCGGAAAAGCCATCAAGAAACACAACCTACCTCGCGAAGAGATCGTCGTGATGACAAAGGTCGGATCCCTGTCAATCCCATGCAACTGTACCAACCATTGACCTTGGGAACAGGTGTACTTCACTGTTGCTCGGGAGCATGGCAAGCGTCTTGTCGGACTTTCGCCAGACGAGCTGGACAAGCAGGGCTACGTCAACCAGCGAGGACTTAGCCGGAAGGTGCGTTATGTAGTTTCACATTTGGTAATCCTGACGCTGACGGAGACAATCTCAGAACATATTTGCTTCTGTGAAGGCCAGTCTTGAACGGCTGCAGCTCGACTACATCGATCTATTGCAATGTTAGTGTTCCGTCGTGAGTCGTTACTCGTTCCCTAAAGCTTTTACGTGTAGGTCACCGCTTTGATTACGACACTCCTATCGAGGAGACAGTGAGTATCCCAAGCCACGCCCTGGGAGACGTGCACTGAGTTCATTCCAGATGCAAGCACTTCATGATGTTGTTCAGGCTGGTTATGTCCGCTACATTGGCATGAGCTCTTGCCATGCCTATCAGTGTGAGTGTCTTGGCTTTCGTAAACACTGATGTCTGATTTCGATATCCTAATGTCTAGTCCATGCAATGCAAAGTAAACTGCATTACGTTTCTTTTCTCGAGGTTATTACTGATAATGAATTCTCAGACTACGCTATTCAGAATAAGCTGACGCCGTTTATTTCAATGCAAAATCATTATAGCTTGATTTATCGCGAGGAGGAGCGCGAAATGTTCCCTACTCTCAAGGTGAGTTATCATAGCTTTCCCTTGACTGCAAGAAGCGCATAGCTCATTTGACTTTGTCTCAGATGTTCGGCGTCGGTTCTATCCCTTGGTCGCCCTTGGCGGGTGGCAAAGTCACGCGTCCAATTAGCGCTCAAAAGGAGACAAAGCGCGGCGACACTGACCAGTAGGTGGATTACCTTGTCCGCAATTGTCAAAGTCTAACAAAGGTGCGTCAGTTTCTTGGAAAATTACAGCAAGTACGAGGGCGTGGTTGATAGGCTCGTGGTTTCTCCATCTTCGTTAAACAACGAGCTGATCCCGCATAGGATTGAGGAAGTTGCCAATAAGCGCGGTGTCAGCATGGCGCAGGTTAGCATGGCATGGGTGATGTCAAAGCCAGGTGCGTTATTGCAAGCTCCTTCCAATCCACGGTGCCCAGGCTAATATTCTTCTCTGAAGGCGTTACGGCCCCCATCGTCGGCACGACTAAGATGGATAACCTAAAAGACATCATCGGTACGTATCAGGAGTACTTGGTTTCGGTTATCTTATATTGTTAACGTTACTTCAGGGTCCCTTGACGTTAAGCTCACCGAGGAAGAGATCAAGTATCTGGAAGAGCCTTACATCCCTCAAGCCATTGTTGGCCATATTTAATTTGATGTCGCAGTTTTGTTACATAAACACGTCAATAGCGCATAGCATCTGTATTGAGGCGAAGGCGATTTGTATAGTGATGGTCAATTAATTATCCAAATTTGATCACAGGTTTTTTTTTTGAATGGATATGAGGGGAATGCTTAAACGCACTGAACCAGCCACTAAGGACTGGAGTGTGGGGCTCATCAGAACAACAGTAGCGTTGCGACACTACCCACTAAACCCCTCATGCCAGGTTCTCACTGGCTTTCCCTCAAGACACTCCTGCTAAGCTTAGTTAAGAACAGGCGTTCGAGAGGGCTCCTAATTTTTCTGACTTAGCTTCTGGAGTAGTTGCTTCCCATTCCACCGTTCACCTTTTCCGAGCCTGTTTCGCAAGTAATTAAATACTTAAGCTACTCCGGGGTTACTACTAGGGTTACTGATGTTCAGGTTCTCCTACTGCCGTACTGGACCCTCCCACCACGTTGAGGTTGTCATTAGGGGGGAATTTGATCACAGTTGCACAGGGTGTATGTGTGTCTTGATTCACATCTGAATAATTTGGTAGTATAACTATGGACTCCAGTTCACACTACGAGTATCTTGTCCAAGTCCTCTATCAATCTAGCCCACCGTCCACCATGCCATTCTCTAGCCTTTCCCCACATATCTTCGTCAACCACGTACTGCATGCACTTGACCCTTCCAGCGACAATGAAGTCCGCAAAACATGGTGAATCTCCCATCAAGTAGCACCCGCTACCAGCCGCATACCACCTGTCAACATTACTCAACACTTGCTCCAGCGCCTTCCAGGCCTCGTCACGCTTTGGATTTCCAACTGTGAACGCCTTCTCAAAGTCTGGACCGAAGCGTCGAGCACGCGTAGCGAGGTAATATGCCTTGCTGACAGGATTGAGCCCATCTGCAGCCATCGCCACCCCGAAAAGAGCGACAGGCATGAGCGTTTGAAGAAATGCCGCGTCAAATGCTGCTACAAGGGCGGCAGTATTGTCGGGCAGAACGCGAGGTAGAGAAGGGTAAGTGGCATCAAGGTACTGCGCAATCTTGAACGAGTCGGAGATGACGGTGCCCGTGGACGGATCCTTGATGACAGGAAGGGTGTACATGGATCTTCCTCCCACAACACTCGTAGGCTCTCCGCCGAGTGCCTTGATAGTCTTCTCGATATCTGGGAGCTCGACCCAGACTGTGCGGAAGGGGATTCTCTTGAAAGACAGAGTGTATCTACGGTAAGAAAGTCAACATTTGTCCGTTATTGGAGCATGCAATGCATTACCTAGCCTTCAACGTGTTCGGAGACCATGGCCTTCCAGGAATAATGGAAGGTATATCGTACAGGACAATGTGATGAGGGTCTGGGGAACGTGTTTCTTCCATGAGCGGGACTGTGATATCTAGGCTTTGAGACGATGTTGATAGATACCGTTTCTAGTATCCGAGGCGTCGTGACTTTTATCGTGCAGGTCTTTGGGGGAACAACCAGCGCCACTGGGGAATGTGGTACCTATCATGGCCATTCGATGGAGAATGGGGATACCCAATCTGCCCCTGGACGTGGCTTACCCACGGTTCCTGAAGGCTGTTTCCCCTTCAAGATCATAACGTAGGCACTAAGAATGCAGACTAAACAGGATAGCACATAACCTGGAATAGGCGGAGTGCAGGCTTGATAATCATGCGTCGTGAATAATGCATAATGGTTGGAGCAGCAGGAAAGGCTTGACATTGTTGTTGGGGACCGCTAACGTGGTGACACGAGTAGACTTGGTTGCATCAGAGGTATTAGGGCGCCGAGGTAGCCAGTCACCATGACAGGATCTGATACTCGTTCTGCTTCTGGCATGATGGAATTGACTAAGACTTATGCTACGTACGGAACCCTAGAGAGGGTGGCAATTTTGCGTGGTCGGATATCGACGTTTCCATTTTAAGAGAGAACGAGATAGATACCTTCCGACTTTAGTCGTCAGTATTAGGTCGATGTAGACGGGAAAAAAACCCGAGCCTCGTCTCGATTCTTGTAGGTCCCGTGGTAGGTGAGCCGCTTGTAGCCTGGACTTTCATAGATTAATTTGCTCTGAGGTGACGATAACCGCGAGACGTTGTTTTTTGGCTTCTTAGTCGCTTATGCATTCTGCCTACATTGCCTGCATGGCAGTGCAATCTGGTGTAGCAAGTAATGGCAGGCAGACATGCGTCTGAAATGTGGCAGCCCAGTATCCAACTCGAAAAATTCACACTTCATGATTGGCTATCTAATATCCGAGACCCAGAAACAAATCGGAGCTCATTCATTGCGTAGAGACTTAGGCGATAGGTTCTGGTCCGCAGGTTTTCATACGGCGAAAGCTTGGTGTCATATTTATTGGTTTTGTTCTCAGAAACCTATGGGAGAACATAAGTGAATAGATTGTGTCCTACACATTATACGACCCAATCGTGTGAGAGAATTGTAACGACAATAAATCATCTACTGAGGAAAAGATTGCGAAGCTTTTACTTATGAGCAGAGCCATGCTGTGTTATCTCGTGGCGTCGAAGATCGTGCGGTGTGGAGAAAGTATCTGAGCACCCCATCCGACATGCGTAGCGTGTCGCCGGCCGCCCTTCGTGTGTTGAAATATGCAGTTGAAGAGCATACTAGCGGGTTTTTTGAGCCAGTCAGGGGATGGATATCCCACATATAGAGAGCGGACTAACCGCGCTTGAGAATGTTCTCTTGCATTTCTCGTAGGGGCACCAAATTTGGCTATTTGGATCTGATGGTGGCGGATCTACAGGCGAGAAGGCGGCCGTAGTACGAAACGGTTACCAGGTAACATCATTGATTGAACCCGCAAAATCAGCGTTGGTGACGGACATGGGAATTGAATGAGCTCCTCTCAAGTAAATAGCATGTATGAGGATATCTGAACGCACTATTTGAATCATGCCCAGAGCTTCCTAGCATCGTTGACTACTTCCTCGAATATAATGCACTGGCTGTTGATGAGGAATCGTCTATGAAGGAGAGTCAACAAGGCATTTTGGTCCCTGAAAATAACATAAGAACCCACCTGAATCTCGCAAAGATTGAACAAAAGCACTAAAATAGGCGTAGAAACAGAGCTGGTGATTCAAAAACCCTTGATGTTTCGAAGAAGTTGATGTGAAATGAAGGTATGTTCTATCGTCCGGCTTATAGATGGCTCGAGACGATCCAAAGCGCGACAGAGGACCAGGGGGCTGGGGCTGAAGTGGGATTTGAAGCTTATTTGCTTATTGAGATGTAGTGAGCAGCATTGTGGTCGACATAAGAATGGAAAGGGTATGCTCGGGGGTAGACATATGGCGATTTTGTACTCGGATTCGGAATTGACACAACCTGCCGCACCGGATGCCAAGGACTATCGACTTGGAATGATTCATGCATTATTGAAGCCCGATCTAGACACACCGCGGACAGCCAATGAACCCGAAAGTCCTCGAGGACTCCAGGCGGTTATCGTGAGTTGTAGTTGTCGGTGTGCACTGTACGGTCAGACAGGTATTCGCGAGAGTCTTTTCATCTCCGGTCCTTCCACGATGGTGGCCCAGAACGGCCTAGAAATGCCATCAGCAGTTTTACAGGCAGCAACTGACGGCCAATACGCTTTCGGGTGGCATTCGTTATCAGCGTGGAGGCAAACAGGAGTTGGAAACGAGCTGGCAAGGCCATCCGGTGGGTTTTCCCATGTCACCTTCTTTTCCGTAACTTGTCACGGTGCGCCGTCCCACCGAAACCAGAAGAGGTTGCAATCTTCACCACTCTTCGCTTCAGCAGTGTTTCGACTTAACTTTAAAATGTTATCAATGACAACATACATATCTGAAGAGCTGAAGATCTGAACTTTTGAGGGAAAAAGCCCAGCGGAATACAAAAGTGGCGTGTAAATAAAGAGTACACATAAAAGAGACGTTGCTGTCGTCCGGGTATCCTGTTGTGTCTGTTGCAAACGGTTTGTCAATTCCCCAGCCAAAGTCCTCGCTGAGCTTCCTGGCCAGATCGACTCTCACCCCTTTCTACGGCAACCGCTTATATGAACGGTCCAAACCAATAGCGTTTCCCCCTCTCGGGACCAAAGCTAAAGGGCTCAGTACACCCGAGGATCAGCCACTTAATACCCGAGATCACCTCATGACCAGCGCTCCTCTGTAATTTCCTTCATCGAGGCGTGGAGGTCTAATCGCTGAGCTATCAACGTTGCAACTCTCACATTAATATTGCCTACCGCCGTCATTCCATCAGCCTCAGTATTTTACTTGTAAGCCAACGAGACCAGACTCAAAAGTACAGGCACTGGACCCGACAGCGCGATGATATTAAAATTCCCAGCTCAAAGTAAAATAAAATAAAAAGGCCAGAAGGTCACGAACAAAGACTATCGGCGGCGATAAAATCCGGGCACTTGTGCTTGTTTTGGTTTGACTGACTGGAGAATACGTGTTTACACCGGTGGCACATCCAATCCGGTACTCGCGCGTGCCGGGCGACTTCGTGGCGAAGACGGTCGTGCTGCCGTGAAAAGGTTTCTGAGCACCCCATCTCACACTGATAGCGCACTTTGCGGGTGTGTTGGCGCATAGTCATATGAAGTTCTAGAGTATCCTGTTGATCATTGTCAACATACTGAGGGAATGATACAGATATCCGAATGAGAAAGCAAACCTTGCTTGCAAATTTACGTTTACATGATGGATCCGGACACGCAAATCGACGAGGCCGTTTCCGAGGCACCGTTGTGTCCACTTCGGCGGATGCTGATGAAATTGGTGTGTCTGTAGTAGATGGAGCAGAGTACAGTGGTAAGGAGGGCATGTCATGTTGTGGCGAATTGACGGCGCTGAGACATGGTAGTGCTTGAAATGCTGCAGTATCTATCGCTGACAAAGTTGGTGCCGTGGATTAGCTTTACAGATGGCTTTCAAAATGGGATACTCACATGCTTGCGATTTGTGTCCGAGAAGCGACAAGTAATCTGACGAGGGGACCTCTAACGGTGGTAACGTTGAGAAGAAAGAGTCTATTAGACATTGTGAGCTTGATGACCTTGTTTACTACAAGAAGACGAACCATAACTGGTCATTAATGCCTCTTGAGCGAAGAAGTCAAAGTCAGCTGCTAAACGTGTCATTATATGAGTTGCAGATAAGTTAAAGATCCAAGTACTAGGTGATGCCTCCGCTAAAGGGAAATCTGATAACGGGGCTATGTTTCGGGGCGTCATATACTGAACAGGAGGATTTGAAGCCGACGATGGAGCGAGGGAAGATGAGTTGACGAAATTCGGTTGGTCCGGCCTCGGTATAGCGAAGATGCTTAGTACACGATGCCCGCTAACGCATTGCGTCTGGATCTTGATGGCGATCGATGACAAGTCTGGCGACAAGGTTGCGAAAAACGGCTGAGGTGACGGTTTAAGCTGTAGGCTGGGCTGCACGCTCGCAGGTCCAGCGAAGACGTGGAACTGGAGAAGTTGAGATATCGACAGAGTGAGCGACATTTCGGAGGAAGCCATCGCTAGAGAACAGAAAATAGCTGCTCACCCAGAATCAACCGATTTGGTTTTATGTACGTTTTCAAACTGTGTTGAGAAGCACGGCGGTTTTGGCACTGTCTATATGGGGATTGGTAAACCGGTAGGGCCAAGAGACAGGAGATATTGACCGGCGGGATCCTTCAGATAGGCAGCTGGAAGAGAGTAAAAGTCGACGTCGGACCGGAGATGTTAGACGCATATGAAAGGACCTTTGCTTCCCCGAGTGCCGCGATAAAATGTTACCATAAAAGCATACCACATTGGATTGACACACAAGCGGTATCCCGTACTCAACGTAGCGCTGAATGTCTCGACGTGGGATCGTCTGACTGTAAATCAATGTCAAGCTTGGTACCGGCACCAGGCAATACCAGCCGCGGCTACTGTTGATCAGGCACCGAGGCCGGCATACGGGAAGATGATGCCCGGGATACGCTAGTGGGTGCTGAGTACAGATAGGTATGCCATCATGCACACTGAGTATTGAGTCCTGGCCAAACTAATTGGTTCTTTGCCTCAAATCGCAGACCCTAAACGTGCCAGAGTTCGAGCACCTAGTCTGAACGTTCTACCCCTCGTTGAGCCCCACTCTCTCATTCATTGGCTCTCTACATGAACCTGTACCATAAGCAGGTTGACGATAAGCCGGACCCGTCGCTGGATAGTTTGGCATGTTATGTTGAATGCGCACGAAGCATGGTCACAGGGACGTAAAAGTTACCTATGGAGATTGTCTCGATCGGCGGCTGAGACCATCATTGTCAGGAGAGGAGGGACGGAGCTTGGATGGAGCCATCACAAGCTATACTTGCACATAAACCAGACAACCTGATCACCATAATATTCGGTAGGTCGGTTGCGCGAAAGCTCTCGAAACATCGCCACAGCTGACTGGACTCGCGCATCTGTCTCTCACGGCGAAGTTTAATCGGTGAAGACTGGCCTTCACGATTGCCACGGGAGAGGTCATAGCCTACGTGTCCGGCTTGGCCAGAATGGAGGCGAGGCTCTTTTGTCGGACAATAATTAAGAGATGAAGGAGTTCCGCTTGGTACACTAGATGCAACAAGGAGAATTGTGCTACAGTTTGCACCACAAAATCAGTGTAAGAGATGGTTGTTGGTGAGGAAGTGGTAATAGAGGGATTCGGAAGTGGAGAGTATGGGCTTACACTGCTACGAAATAAGGTGATCTAGCTCTCTTTGTAATATTGATGTTAGTAGAAATGGCTGGATCCCACCCGAGATGGATGTCTAAGTTGTAGTAGAGCACTTGCTACTACAAGTGCGAAGAAGAGCTTGCTCTCTTGTGAGCCTTCCCACAATTACGCAGCCTTCATGTCGCCATATCTCGAATAGGACGAGTCGGGTCATCCATGTCCCGAGGGCCCGATCATCTGCATCAGAGGTTATCAGAGGGAGGCGGCTTCTCCTTGACGCCGAATATACATGCAAGATTGAGATCCGACTGGAAGCGAATAGTGTAGCACATTGCATTAGAAGACCACACTTTCAGATTCTCAAAGGTTCTCCACGTTGTTTGAACAAGGGAGCTGCGTCAAAAACGTTGTAGTCGCATTCATTCAACGGAAACCTCGTCCCCCGGCTAGGATTGCGGCCGCTCCTATGACACGGCTGTACAATGGAAGTCAGATGCTACTATGGCTGAATCAGTTGATATGAGAACGTGCTTTGCATATTTGCTGAACACCTTAGGGAATGTCTACGCTTTGCAAGTGAGAACTAAGTACTCCAGGGACCTTTGGCTCGCAGCAATAAATGTTCCCTTGGCCGTATGGGTTGCAGTGCTTCACAATCGTTCATGTCCGAACAGTAATATATCATTCCTTGGATCATTTGTAGCCTAAACAACGACAAAGTGAAAGTACTAGCATAGCATTGAAAATAGGCTGAGATTTTTGGTGAGAAAGCTCAGAAACCCCGCGCTGAGAGCCCAGTGTAACATGTATAGGTGAAGTACGTCAACAGCTAGTTAAGCTTTATCACGCTCTCATATTTTACACCACCACAAATGCATGCAACCTTGAGCTTGGGTGAATTCGATATAGCTGGTCTACGGATCCAAGAGGATCCAATTGCATATGTGGCGCGGAGAACGATGGTAGGAACGATTTTGGTGACACAATAAATGGTTATTAATAAAGCGCCCATGGGAACGGCGAACTAACTGTAGCTGATATCATTCAGCAGGTCGTTTGGAAAAGAGAAACGGGCGCCAGGAATCAAATCAACGCTTAAGCTATGTATATCCTTTGGGCTGGGCTGGGGGCTGAAGCGCTGATGCCACGGTCGGTATGATCGTAATATTATTCTGCATACAGTTTCCTACGACGTCTGGCAGAATACTGTCGATGCAATAGGTCTCCCCTTGCTCATATCACCGGAGAACGGTGCATTTGATCCCGCTTCTGGTCGCAAAATCCTCGCACGTATCTTGGAGAAGAGAAAATGTAGCTTGATCGCATTCTTCATATCACTCCTTTTAGTAGTACAACCTGTTCGTCAGGTACGAGGGTAACTAACTAACGGAAATGAGAAACACAGGACACCTCCAAATTTACGCGTGTCCCACAACTTCCTGAGGGACATATGGCTCGTCGAGGTACTTGATATCTTCTTCAGTAAGCTTGAGGTGAACGCCCTCTGCACTCTCCGTCAGTTTCACGAATTATCAGAATCTACATAAAGTCACGCACCAATGATGTCGTACAAGTTCTCGAGCTTGGTCGTGCCAACGATAGGAGCAGAGACGCCGGGCTTCGCCAGAGTCCAGGCGATAGCAACCTGGGTCATGGAAACGCCGTGTTTCTTGGCGATTTCCTCCGTTCTAGAACAAGATTCCATGTGAGCGGTCGGTGGGAGCAGAATATGACCAGGCATACGCACCTGTCAACGATAGTCTGATACGCCTCGGTGCGGTTATAGCGCTGGAGGAACTTGTCCGTCTCCAAGCGCTTGCTCGATTCGCCACGAGGACGGCAAAGAAGGCCGCGAGCGAGCGGCGACCACGGGATCGAGCCAACGTTGAACATCTACATATGAACCAGGAACCGTCAGAGCTGTTATCAACGAGCGGGAACACCAAACACTTACTTTGAGCGTAGGGAACATCTCACGCTCCTCTTCGCGGTAAATCATACTGTAGTGGTTTTGCATTGAAATGAAAGGAGTGAGCTTGTTCTGGATAGCGTAGTCTCAAGAACTGTAAGCCAGATGTCTTACGAGCAAGCGTCAACATGAGCAACGTACTCTGCATTTGATGGACTGCACGAGAGACGTGAGTATGTAATCGTTGCAGGTACGGGGATGAACGGAGCTTACACTGATATGCGTGGCATGAACTCATGCCGATGTAGCGCACGTAGCCTGCCTGAACAACATCATGAAGCGCTTGCATCTGCCCAAAGTGGTCAGCGTGATGTCGACGTAGTGAGGCCGAGAAGCTTACCGTTTCTTCAATGGGGGTGTCGTAATCAAAACGGTGGCCTGCGTCGTTGTAAGCGCGCATGAACTAGTGTGCTTGGAGGGTAGCAGCAACATACACTGGAGCACATCGACGTAGTCGAGCTGCAGGCGCTGCAAGCTCTTCTTGATAGAGTCGAAGATATGCTATAGCAATGGAGGCACGGGAAGTCAGACTTTTGTCAAGGGTCAGCAATTGTAGCCCGAACGCGCCTTCCTGCTCAGACCGTGCTGGTTGACATAGCCAACAGCGTCCACGTCGGGGTGAGCAATCGTGTTCTCCCCATACTCGCGTCCGACAGTAAAGTAGACCTATAGATGTGTTGATAAAGTTGGCTACGATAGGACACAGTACGATGAGGAACGCACCTTCGTCAGCACGACTATCTCCTCTCTAGGAAGGTTGTACTTCTTGATTGCCTTGCCCAAGATCACTTCAGCCTCGCCGCTGGAGTAGACGTTGGCGGTATCGAAGGTTTGAATTCCGGCATCGTATCTGAGCAACCGTCGACGGTCGTAGCATCAGCATGAATCGCAATGGCGAACGACGTAGGGACGTACGCTGCCTTAATGTGTTTCAAACCCTCCTCTTCGGGAAGGACCCATCCTGCCCAGCCAGAAGAGCCATACGACATCGTCCCCAAGATGATCTTTGAAACTTTGAGGCCGGAGTTGCCCAGACGAACTTGTAACGCTATCAGCGACTCTTCATCCACGCAATCGGGATGGCAACAACATACCGTAGGGCATGCGCTTAGCCGGTTGAGACGACATGTCGATACTTGCGGAGTAGAATTTGGGTTGGTTGGGGCACGTATGGATAGCATATCAGCGCGGTGAAGCTGCCTTTTTATACGTGTCAATCGTCGAGAAGATAGACAACGTCATAGTGTTCACATGAACAGATTCGAATTTGTCAGTCACAGATTGGAAACCTCGAGAGCGCGCATGATCCTGCTTACAGGATAAAGTTGAGCGGTAAACTCTATTCGGCCGCTAAGCCTGCTCCCGTTGTGGAATAGATTCTGCGAATGTATGCCCTGAGACGTTCTCTCGAACTGGCTTCGGATGAAACCAAGACCTCCTCGCTTGTCAAGCGTGTCGAAATTCGAGTACCGGAGGTCTTGCTGGGCTGGATGGTTTACATCCGGATACAAAGAAACTACGGTGACTGAATGACCTTGACGTTGGCTCGTCGCAAGATGAGGTGGAGGTCCATGAGGGGAACAAAGAGCAAAGCAGATGCCGCCGGCCTGGTCAACCCTTTCCTGGACAAAAGCCCCTAAAATCCTTTGGGATGGAGTCAAACATGGCTCCGCTCCTTCGGTCCCGAGACAAAACATTTCCCTGGCCCTAAACGTCTCGTAAAAGAGGCCACGGAAACACATAGATGCTTACAAATGGCTTACAAACACAGTCAAATCTATTTTACGCTCTTCTATGCAAAAGTAATGCTCAACCTTGCAATGCTCAGTCTTACATCACTATAAATACGTCATGGCAACTGTATTCTCAAAGGTTTGTTCAGGTCCGTTTTAATTCACAAAGGTTGGGTGTGACCTTTATCTCCAAGTCATTACTGGGAATCCGTGATAGGCTTCATCGCCATGCCATGTCGTCGCGCGGCTTGTTGCGCTGCATACCCACTTTGTCACTATAATAGCCTCCACAATATAACTCCCTTACGATAACGTCCAACTCCTCACAATGTAGCGTTTCAACAATGGGACTTCAAGAACGTAGCATAAATTACATAGATTATCATATGTTAGACTATAAGTAAGCATAAGGATACATAACGAAACCTTTTCATAACAGACCTAGCTGATAGTAACAGCTTGCGCTTCCAGGCGATTATGCACCCGTCTGCAAGCCGCTTTCAGTTTAAGATGGCGCCTGAGCGCGTCAAGGCGCGTGAACGTTTGCTTGCAAGCCAAACACCGAAACTCGGGGGGCCCATGCCGGAGCGACTGATGGTGCCGCCGGAGGTCGCCCGCAGTGCCGCACACACGTTTGCACCCATCAAGTCCGCATACATAACCACCTCTCCTTCGCTTGGCTTGTGGCAAGCCATCGCCGTCGGAGTCACCTGCATCGTCCGTCAGCACGCGCCTCCGGTTTGACGAGGTGCGGGGCACCTACATGAAGTGACGGAGTTAGAGTCGTGCAGGGACTGCGACTGCGATCGCTCCCTCTTCACCGAACGCGAAGCGGTCATTGGAGTGGGGGAACGCTCGGGCGTATCACGCAGAGTACATTCCGAAGAGCAGGACGTGGAGTAATCATCAATGTAGGGAATAGGAACGTCCTCATCAAAACCAATGGGGAGTGCCGTAGGCGGTTGCGGGTGGTATGTGGGCGACCAAGGGGTGCGTGTCTCATAACGAGGCGCTGGTTCGAAGTTCGATTCAATAGGAGAGTTAGGCTCCAGATTAACATCCAGCTCAACGTGAGCCAAATGAGAATCGCCGCCATCAAGAAGGCTGAATGGGTCTCCCTTTGACATCGACGTGAAATGAGGCATTAGCTCCTGCCATTCTTGCTTGTCAAAGCGAAGCGCTGAGGGTCCGAGGGTAGAGTACGGATCCACATGATCTTGTGAGAACAGCGTGAAGTGGTGGGGACCTCCCCAAGTTTTATCGAACTGATGATAAGACAAGTATGATGTCAGCGGCATTTCCGGCTAGAGATGAAGAACGAACTTACAGCATCGGTCTGCTTCAACCACTGAAGCTCACGCTCAAAGCCATCCACGTCGAAGAAGTTGTCCGGGAACTGACCGAGAGGGTACGAGGTGGTTCCGTCATCAGAGCACTTGTCAGAGAGGACGAGCGTATCATCGCGTAGTTGTGCAAAGCAAGCCATTGCGTTCAGCGGGAATCAGGATGAAGAAGTACTGAAGATCCATCCCCAGGAGAGCTCGAGTTTTTGTAGTGAGTAGAGAAAGACGCTTTGATACTTCGGTCGGAGTCGAAGACACGAGGGAGTACAGCTAGATCAAAGCGAGAGTCAAAGCCATAGACAGGAACAGTCAAAGCAAAGCGAGATGTATGGCTTAGCCCGTGGTGGCTTCGACCTCGACGCCGGCATGGCCCTCAGCTTCATTAGCGCTTTGTTGGGTTCCATCGCATAGACCAAGGATGAGAAATATAGGTATTCGCTAGTAAGCTGAAGGCTTCGTCAAAGTCAAGAGTTGGTGCTAAAAAAACAAAGCGTCGCAGAAGGTCGCAGAGCAAACTCGGCCGATTTACCACCCTTGTTTTGGACTATTTGGCCTCCAGTTTAATCGGGCTCCCGGGCGCACCTATCGTTCCCACACTTTGATTTAATATCAAGGGTGTGTCCGTCCGCTTAACTACGGCTAAATAAGGTCGAATTGAGGGTTCCTGTGAGCCCCAGCTCGGCACCCCAGGTGGTCAGGTCACCTTGTAGGCTATGTCGGAGAAGGCTGGGAGGGGTTTATAATGGAACACCGTAAATAAGCGCATAGTTATGACGTGGCCCTGAATAGAAATGGCCATTATTAGGCACAGGTTCCATTTTTTTCCCATCGATCGATAAGTTTGGTCTCGGCTCGGTTAGATTGCATGATTATCGCACGCACCAGTCATTCTGATGCACGTGACCTCCATCCTTGTGCATTAATTCGAACACGCCGTACGCACGCAGAGTTCGGTTTGAACTCTTGCGCTTTGCCTCTTTCCCTTCTCTCTTCTCGCTCCCCGATGTCTCTACCCCCCTCCTCCGGTATCTACAAAAAGCCGAAACGCAATGAACACCTCCGGCGCCCACGGCAAACCGACTTACCGCCCAGTTCGGTCTCCCTATCAGGGGCTTGGAGCCATCACGGCTCGCTGGGCTCGGCGTCTGGAACTCCCGCCGATTTCGCCGAGCCGCTCAGCTCAGCGTCGCAGGCTAACCTCAACGTCATCGCGTGCTCGGTCTGTTCGCGCGAGTTCACAACATTGGGCAGCCGTCAAATGCACGAAAATGCATGCTTAAGGAAACATAGGTTGGCGGAGGCGAGGGAGGCATGGTCTCAGAAGGTCACGAAGAGTAAAAAGAGCAGTACGTTGCAATGCATTATAGTATTTGATCACTTATCTAACGTTCTCTACATCACTTCAGCACGAATGAGAGCCCTCGTCGACTTTGAGACCCTGCCTCCAATCATCTCTCGCGCCCACACTCCACGATTAACAGGTATTTCTTTTCTTTTTGTTATCTAAACAAATCTGACCTGTGCTAGACGTTGCGGCTGGATCGTTGCACCTGCAGAACAACGTAGCCGCGGACCCTCTGGGTCCAGGTCCGGATGGCTCTAGCTTCCCTCATGCCGTTGAGGATGACGCTGATCTGGGCGCTGGGGACATGTCGTTCACTGAAGATCATGTCCCAGCACCTGAGCTGGCACCGCGAGACGAAGAGTTCGACACACGAATGAGTACGTATCGCATTCAGCGCTCTCCGACATGCATCGTATTCAACGCTCTCCGTCACTAACATTCAATGTCCAGGATCCGACTCGCTAGCGTCTAGTAATGCCTCCACCACCTCACCAACTTTCCCCTTCACGACAGGCGGTCGTCCGTCCAACACCTCCATTCCACCATTCAAGACCGAGTATCACCACAAATCCGGCCGTTCCACCCGCTTTTACTCGTATGAGGAGTACCGCCGTCCCGTCGAGCAGATCTTCGAAAAGGACTCGCACCCGTGGCGACCATTCCACAGCCGCGGCGACTGCGAACTGGCATCTATCGTGGTCGACGCTCAGATGTCCGACTCGTTGGTGAAGCGACTCCTGGACCTCATCAAGAACGTCTCCAGCGGCGAAGCCTCCATCACCTTTGGCTCAGTCAAGAACCTTCGGGATGCCTGCAACACGGCCGCCAGAGAAGTCACTCCCGTAAGTTCGGTCGTTCTTAATGTAGCATTATGAATCTATCTACGCACTGTATACTATACCGACAACGAATTCAATGTTCTTTTTAGTTCGAACTCCACGATGTTGTAATAAACTACAAAGGACAAGACCTCCACCACGACTTTTACGGACGAGATCTTTTCGAGTGGGCTTTAGACTTGCTCGATAATGAGGCAATCGCGCCTCATTTTGTCTGGGATGCCCAACGGAACTACAAATACAATGGCTCCGAGTATGTACGCTTCATCGACGAACCATGGACAGCAGACCGCTGGTGGGAAGTCCAGGTGCGTCACATTAATACGACTTTGATCCTAACAACATTGAATCCCTGTCCTTCGAACTAGGAAAAGCTCCCAGAACTCGACAATCATCCTGCAGCGCCCTTAGCATTCGTCTTATACGCTGACAAGACCAGACTCTCAAGTGCTGGCAATGTTCAAGGCTACCCGGTTGTTGCGAGGTGTGCGAATCTGCCCGCAGATATCCGCAATGGGCGAGGATCAGGCGGTGGTTGCGTGGTCGGGTGGCTCCCCATTGTGAGCCGTTCTCTGTTGTAATGTTATCTTGAGGAATAACGTCGTGAATTTCTTCCAAGTTGGAAGATAACTCTGAGGAGGACGGAACGCTCGCCTATACCACGCTGAAGCGCGTACTCTGGCACGATTCGGTACGGAAACTATTCGAGAACGCCCAGGACAGCTCAAAAAACGGCTTCTTCTACGAGAAATGTCACGACGGAGTTCCACGATGGCTATATTTTATGATCCTTATTCTGTCGGCGGACTACGAGGAGCAGTGAGTCTTTACACTATCCTACAACTCGGATCTGACTATGTATTTGTAGAACTACTATGGTTCTCAACCGCGGTGCGGGTGGGAACCATCCGTGCCCTGTCTGTCTTGTCCCTAAAAACCAGCAACATGACCTTTTCCAGCGATTCCCTCAGCGCTCCGAGGTAGAAACGAAGGATATCGTGATAGAGTATAATCAACCCGATGTCAAACCAGCGGACAAGCGACGATTAGGGGCCCGCCTCGATGAGCTAAGTGTCAGACCTGTTAATGTTCGTCATCTCATCTCTAGTTGCAATATGATACTGATTTGTGCTATTCGTTGTAGAATGCATTTTGGATGTTAAACTACTCTGACACGGCTGACACGATTTCTGTCGATCATCTTCACAACTTTCACCACGGCATATACGGTAAACATCAGCATCCCGAGCTAGTCAAGATGCTTGAGAACACGCCAAGGTCTCGCGCAGACTTGAGTAAATTCAACCACCAGTAAGAACTTGTCTTTCTCACAAAATTTGCCGGAATCTAGGAGCCTGATTCGTTGATTATAGGTTCTCTCTTCAGCCTCGTTGGCGTGGCTTTGGCCACTTTGATTCGCCATCCACAATGACATTCAGTGACGGTAATAAATTCAGGGATATATCTAAGGTGTGCCAAGTCTGTTAGTACATTAGTTTGGAGTGCTGACGACGAGCAGCAAGTATTATTCTGCGCGTATAATATCCTAACGCCTACGTACTCGCCCGAAGGGTATAAGCTGCTACAGCTTATTAGCAGCTACCTCGAGCTGGATGCGTACTTTTCTCTCGAAGTCCACACCACGGAAACAATCCGAGCTGCCTGGAAGGAGGTGAATAGGTTTGGTACCCTTTTGAAGGTATGGACCCTGCTCTTTCTCCGAATTTTATCTTACCAGAGCGTTTCAACTCAATGTAGGAGTATATTGCTGCGGCCCTACTCGCTCAAAGCGAAGGGCGAAACCCGAAGATCAAGACGAAATGGGATTTCCCGAAGATACACGCTCTGATCCATTTCCTGAACGACATTCTGCAGAAAGGGGGGAGCCGTCACACTTCCACTCGCCCCAACGAAGGCATGCACGGGCCACTAAAGGACGCATACGAGAATCGGTCGAACGGCAAAGATTTTGCCGAGCAGGTCAGTGAACCAGTCGCTGTCTTCTCAAAGGTACTAATCCGAGCATTTGTTCTAAGATCCTCCGCATCGACGCACACAGGCTAGCGCTCCTCGTCCTCAGCGAGCGTATACATCGGCAAGATGACATAAAGCGCTTGGAAGAGCTCCAGGCTCGTGTAGAGCACGATGACGACGTGACACCACGTGAAAGCACGCTGGACTGGCACGTTTATCTTGGTTCCCCGCAGCAGCCCATCGCCCTCCGGGATGTTGCCGGTAAGTGCGATCAGGACGCTGCTTTCACCGACTTCGACAGCAAGCTCGAAGACTACATCAACTTTCAACTTTTTCCATGCCTCGATATCTCCTTGTCGTCGCCCGTATCTCTCCCAGAAACATTTCAGGTATTCCTCACTCATATACTTCGTGTCTTTTTTTAAAACAGAGATTAGATCACCGAGTACTATTTCTTCAAAGTCAACTATGAATCACACGAAACCTGGACGATCCGCACGGACTATTTACGCTGCAACCCCTTGTTTTATGGCCACCCTCGTTACGACTGCGTCCTTGCCAAACTTGGCCCTGGTGACGCTGGTATTGCCCGTCTCGTAAAGATTTTCGACTTCACTATAGTGTTCGATGACGCTGGAGAGCCCCGCCCTCAGGTTTTCTCGGCAGCTCTCGTTCAACCTTACACCGCACAGCTCGACTTGCCCGCTAACGTTCAGAAATCCGACGACGATCTGCGCTTCACCCGAGTCAAGGCCTGCCCCCGTACCAATGCGACTATTATCTCCCTGGACTCGGTCATTCGAGGAGCCTTAGTAAGCCCCGACTTTGATCGCCCTGATGAACACTTTGTCAATACCTATATCGACGGCGACATGTTCCTCCGAATGAAGGGGGACTGGACCTGTGTTCATCCTTAGTTTGGTACGTCATGTCACATCGTCATCTTTTTCGTACCCGGGACTGAGTGTGAAGGTGACAGGTCCGAGTACAATAGGGACGCAGTCGCGGCCTCGGTTTGATGGGCGAGTGGGAGGGGAAGCACAGCTGGTACGGCGGCAAGATCCAACAGGTCATTTCCCTGCGCGTCTCGGGGAACCCAGGTCAAGAGCGCTATGAGTTCGAGCTCGAGAAACCCAAGATCTCCTGCTCTCACCGCCTCTCGCGCTTCCTCAGCTCTCGGCGTCTGATCCAGATGCGAATCCCGGAGCAGACAATGTGGAACTACGGCGCACGCATCTTGATTATAGGCCATCCACCTCGTCTGCTCTGTAAACAACCACCCACTACACCGACACGATTTTCTCTGCGCCCTCACTCTCAAATGGGCGCCACTCTCCTCGAGCACCCTCGCAGCCCCAACTTCATGGAAACCCGCTTCGCTTACGACTCTATCTGCCTATGCTGCCACGCACGCCATGCTTTCCGATCTACGAATCATCTATGTTTTCTCGCTCTGCTCTGCTCTTGCCGCTATCCCTCCTATAACACCTAACGCCACTCCTGCCTCCTCCATATATTCATCAACCCCCAGTAATGCTATATGTCGCATATGGAACCCTCAAGACATCCCGCCCGTTTTTCTCACTTCTACCTTGTGTCCTGACCACGCTCACAGTGCTGTGGGTAGGAGCGTCTCTCTCCCCGCACACGCCTTCATAAACTCCCTGTCTCCATCTCCCCCACCACCTCATATTCACCGGTCGCGCTATCAAATATCTCTCTCTTCGCGTTCCCATCTCGTTTCTTTACGCCCGCGGTGTCCTTGCAAGACGGCCTCGAGGTTGGCCTCGAGGTTGGCCTCGAGGTTTGTGCACGTTCAAAACCTCCCTGGTTCTGCATCGCCTCACTCTCAGGGATTTCACAGGAGATCTGATCTTTGAAGACGCGACGGATATCCGTTGTAGCTGGAGCCCTTCCGCAGTGCATCGAGTCGGCTTGTGTACACTAAGTTGTTTATTTCTCACAGCCAGGGTTCTCTTGTTGGTTCTTTCACTATGGCGGTTGTTGAAGTCCCGCGTTTACCTCGGTTTTAGGACTTTTCTTTTCATACATGTCTACCTCCCTGCAAGTGAGCCTGTGCCTCGTTGTGATCCACGAACAAAAGGTATGTTGACGAGTAATCCACGGGGCGAAAGCTGACTTGAGCTTCTCCGGAGGCCGGTGATTTCTCCACGGAGATGCTCGACGCAGTGCGCGAGGTCGCCTTGAAACGAGCATATAAAGACACAGTGAGTCGCTCGTAAAAATCAGTACCACCGTTTCTGCTGATAGCATCACCACTTCAGCATCTATAGCTTCTCTCTCATCATCGTGTTGACTCCACCCGCCTCTCCATATCTTCTGAGCCATGCCGCCGCGCCAGTCCCCTCCCGTGGAGGATTTCTCTGACCAGATTCGGAACATCGCAACCACCACCGAAGACAAAGACGCCGAGGAGCGAGAGCACCTCAGTATCATGCAGGTAAACGCTGCCACAGCCAGGGAATCTGAGCTGCGTACCGTAAGTCTCACTTTCTTACTCCTGAAAGGCGGTAATGCTAAGACCTAACATCCGCAGGGATTCACGCGACTTCAGACGAAGTACGTCGCTCTCCGCACCAAGTGCAAGGCCATGGATCGAGAGCTCTACCTCCTCCGCATGGCAGCTGCCGACGGATCGATCACAATGACGGAGGCCTCTCTCGGCGAGCTATCCAAGGGCGGCGGGCGGAAGTACTTCGTACTCGTTCGTCTCTGGGTTCCTGACCGTGTATTCCCCTTGCCCGAGAACATCGAGTTCATCGATCCCAACGATCCCAGCAGGTGGCAGACCAAGGACATGGAACTGCTCGGGCACATCACCGATCTCTTTGGGGTATTGGACGAGAGGCTTCGTGAGGCAGCGCTCGAGTTTCCTCTGTTCGCTCAGCAGGTACGCTCGTATATTTATTTTATTTATTCGTTTTGCCAACGTTTTTTCGTAGTTCTGTGCAGGCGTCGAAGCTGAACGCCGAACGTGTGTCTCCACGATTAAGGATAACATTGCAGCCATCCTCAGCGACTTCATCACGCTCGATCCCATCACGGCTGGTAACTCCAGTCTTCTCATGGCTCATCCCGGCATTGTCGCACTCCGCAGGAACCCCACTGAACCCGATGTCGAGTACCCGAAGTACTCGTCTGTTCTCTATGCCGATCCCAACAATCCCGAGACTGAGGGTCTCTTCAGGTCATCGGCTTTGATTAAGGTAAGCTCGAGTACTTTACTCTACTTAGAGTTCTAACCAATGTATATTACTTCCTAGGCGGCAAAGTGCATTCTCTTCGGTAAGACTTCGATTGGAGTACGCGGCGGTAGCGGAGGGCGCACTCCTAAGGGCGAACTATGGAACATGACGGAACCGACCCCTGGTCTCATTGCCGGTGTCAGTGTGCTGGTACGTTTTTCTTTCTTTCTTATGATTGAAGTGTTCGTGCTAATGTTCTATATTAAATCAAGGTAATACATCGTATCGGAGAAGACGACTCGTTCACACCGAAGAGGAATCGCAGCGGCGTGGATTGGACGGCAGTCTTCGACTTTCTGTATATGCTGTTGACGTCCAGCGACACCGAGGACTTCACCGAGGATCTCTTTGAATTCTGGAGCGTCATGTGCTTCGGCCAGACACCGTCGTCTCGCACTCTCACGGCGACGGAGACTGTTACCTCGTCGGCACCTGCGAAGGCTGCTGCACCTGCAGTACCTGTGGACCCTGTGTTCGAGGCTATGAAGCGCCGTCGTGCGGAGCCGACGGAGGATCCCAACGCACCGTTGGAGTCGTCCGAAGCCCCAGCGGAACAGGCTATTTCCAACATGCCTCGTCCCCCCTTTGGCACTTCACGCCCTGCGTCACCAGTCCTTCCGTCAACTATCATGCCATCTGTGTCGTCGGGTATGCGACCCTCTATCACAGGGCCCAACAGTGGGGCTGCACCGCTGGCGCAGGCGACATTTGATTCCGTTTCCGCAGCGGCGCTCCAGCGCGGCCTCGATCGTCTTTCGATTGGAGACAAGCAAGGATCTATTAGCTTATCTGCTCTAACGAGCCTCCCATCCTCGGCCTTCTCCTCTCCTTCCACTGCTATAACTGTCCCGGTGACCACTCCCCCCATCCAGAAACCACACTCGCTGCGTAGGGGTGAGACGGTTCTAATCGAACGTGCACCTGTCACCGGTTCAGCTCCTTCGGTCATCTCGGTCACAGCTGAGGCTCCCCCTTCCTTCGTATCTGTGGCTGCGCCACCGCCGGCTGCGCCAATGGAAGCTCGCACCACCAGGTCTCGTGGCTCGAAAAGCCAGGCTCCCGGCGCGGGGTCAGCTGCCCAGGCTGCTGCAGGCAGATCCGATGAGGCTGGGAAGGGCAGGCTTGGGACGACTAGGCGCGGGGCTGTTGCAAGGGGTTCCTGAGCTCAGTTTATTACAAGTTCATTGTTGCTGCATGCTTAATATCGTTTCTATAACCAAACTCGTTTTATATACGATGTAAGTAGCATATAAAACTGATTGCGGTTATGATCAATCACGTAGTCTTGTGTTTCTGTGCTCGGGGGCGACTGCATATATTGAGCTGCATGTACACCGAAATAAGAGGCGTTATAGCCTAGCGGAAAGTATGCTCAGAATAACTATCAAAAGGTAAGTAAAATCTCACTAAGTCCCGAGTTCGAATCACACTGATGCCATTAAATGTTAATAAGCAGGTCACTAGTACATCGGATAAGTAAATGTTCTAATGATAGTCATTCGTAACTAAGTAGAAGTGACTAGAAGAAACATAAGTAAAATATAAGCAAAAGTGATCCGCGCGGTTAGCTGATTGATATTTTTGGATTTATCTGTTTCGCTACAAGCCCCTATCTCGCGCGCCATCAAAATCCGTAGTAATGCATACTTATACTCGGCTAATGGCTCCATCATAATGTCATTCCCATGCGCCAGTGCACCATAGTTACGCTTGATAATCGTTTCAGCCTTTCATTATAATCCTTCGGAATGCCCCTATCCATTACTATGCTTTCCCATGCTTCATCATGCTCGGGACAAGACTCCGACATAGAATTCCTCTAAGTCCCGTCTCTCAATGTAGATGGATTAGTCATATGTCCACGTCATCCCCTCGAATAAGGTTCACCCCTGTAACCATCTATCCCGTCCCATTCCCGCCATTTCCCGGCTATGTCCGCGCCTTCCCCCTTTCCCCCGACACATCCCCACATCATGCCGGCGCCGTCGGCGTCGTCCCCAGCGACGTCAACGAGATCTCGCGCGTTTCCCCCCCTATTTCCTTCGTTCTTTCACTAAAGGTACCTTATTATATACTGATATAATGATTATTGAAGTAATATAAGCGTTTGGACTAGTATTAGTGTTAGAATAGTGTTCTGTACCACTGAGCTGGATTTGTCATCAGGCACATAACCTGTTTTGGACTCCCCGCCGGCAGCAACTCCCTTTCGCGATTAGCTCTATTAATAGATAGCTTTAACCTCTAAGTCCCGTCTTTGAGTGGCCACGTGGCTACGTCATCCATCCGGGATAAGCAGAAAGGCCACTTCGCCCGGACTACTCCCGAAATAGACACTAAGCCGAA